TACAGGAAAGGAAAAAAAAAATTCCATTAGTCTGAGGTGCACTTTACAGTCACAGTCATGATGGGATTTCCATTTGTGTATCAGCAATTCAGATTCTTTCTAAAAGGGAGAAATGATATGCAAACAATATTCTAATAGAAGACAAAGACTGGGATTCTGAGTGCACAAAAGAAAGATTTATTTCAGGTTATGGTTACCACAGCAACTTTTCGTTTTATCCTTCATGTGTCTATCTATCTTATAAGGTCTTTCACAACATTTATATATAATGAGATGATCTGTTGATGGAAAATTATTAAGAAATTAATTTCTCAAGGAAAAAACCCACATAACTTTTTCACAGCTTCACACACACACAGAACAATGTACACACGCATCCAAGATGTTTGTGGGTATGTGTACATTTTTATTTTTGCTATCTGTAGCACCATGAAATTGGCAGCCACTGTTGATTACACAAGAGTGACAATGATAAAGAATGTGATACTAAGTGCAGCTGGTAGATATTCAGACCTGGGAGCAGGCAGAGCTTCTGAAAGTATCATAGCTTTGCAGGCACTAACTTGCCTGATTAAGGAGGCAGCCCTAACAATACATTGACTGGTGGTGTTCAATTTTAATCTTCCTGATTTGAATATTTCAAGCAAGTTGAAGAAAAAGGCAAAGAGCCAGGCCAGAGCTTTTCAGCAGTTGGCTCACTCATCTGTTTATTCCACACAACACTCATCTCACACAAGAGATGAAATGAGTACAACAAGACATTTATGTTGTTCTGCATGTGGCCTCTTGTTTTGCACAGGAGAGGGGGTTATGTTCTTCAGAGATCATAAATCCAACACAAAAAGGATTTCAGGGTGGTTGTCCGTGGTTTCTTTTTCAGATGTACACATGGAAATCTAAAATATAAGCACAACTAGATACAAACATTATGCTATGACAACATAAACTCTGTTGGACTGTGGCAGAAGTGATACAAAAATCAATCCAAAAAGCACTTACCTTTGTTTGCTCAGCAGTACTTATTGACAGCTGAGAGAACAGAATGAGTGGAAATGAAATTTTCTGAGCTCAGTACGCAGAGATAAGATTAAAGCCAGAAGACCCAGAGATGTAACATCAGCATAAAATGCCTTAATAGTTTAGAATCTGATGTTTACAGCATCCTCTTTCCTATTACAGCTCTGCTAGTGACTAAGCCTTGTGTGGTGCACTGACCTTGGCTGGCAGCCACCTGCCCAGCCAGACACTCTCTCACTGCCCCTCCTCAGCAGCACAGGGGGAGAAAATGGGATGGAAAAGCTCACAGGTCAAGACAACAACAGCGTGACCGCCCACCAGTTCATGGAATGGGTAAAGCAGACTTGACGAGGGAAAATGGTTTATTACCAATATTTATTACCAATTACCAAAATAATTTATTACCAATTGATAACAGAGTAGGATCGCGAACAATAAAAACAAAATTAAAAACAACCTTGTTCCCAGTCCCTGTTCTTTACAGATTTACCTATAAGCCCCCGCCCCCAGCAGTTCAGGGGGATGGGGAATGGGAGTCAGTTCATAACACTTCATCTCTGCTGCTCATTCTTCTCTCTGTCCTCCTGCTCCAGGGAGTTCCTGTCCATGGGATACAGTCCTTCACAAACTGCTCCAATGTGGGGCCTTTTCACAGGCTGCAATTCCTCATGGACTGCTCCAGCCTGGGTCCTTTCCAGAGGGCGCTGTCCTTCTCACAGAAGCCACCACTGCAGCCCTCCCACTACCAAAATTTCCCATGTAAGTCCAATATACTTTCTCATTCTTTCAAGCTTTTTTTCTTTCTAAAAGTTTCAGTAATAGGTAAAAGTTGTAAATATTTTTGAAGTCCGAGTATCTTCCTGTCCTGACGTCTTCTCAAAAGTAATGTGGAATTCCTGCTCAGCTGAGGCACTACTGAGACACACTCAGCTAAAGCAAGGAAGAGGAGCGTCTGTACATTTTTGTGGCTTAAAACATATGGAAAGAGAAGCTCAGTTACAAGGAAATAACCTGACTGTGACGTGGAAGGTACTGCACAACCCTAAATCTGCAGACACTGATTGCTAATCCTATCCTGCAGCACATGCCATGGAACAGAGCAGAGGAGTGTGCCCCTCTGTGCAGCACTGACAGAGCACTTCACAAGGAGCAATACACTCTTACTTCAGAAGTCATTGTTCCAGCCAAGGGCCACTGACTTCTCAGAGGAGTTGCTACTTCAGTTGATAACTCCTGAGATTGTGAATCTTGTCTGTAAGGCATTAAAGTCCCTCACAATATTCTTCTCCCATATCCACAGCACCAAGAGGCAATGGCTCCCAAGTTGCACCATGGGAATTTTACATTAGATACTCAGAACAAATTTCTTCACTGAGAGGGCAGTCAAGCATTGGAATAGGCTCCCCAGGGAAGTGGTGGAATCACCATCCCTGAATATGTTCATAAAACTTGTAAATGTAGCACTTGGGGGCACGGTTCAGTGGTGAACATACTAGTGGTGGGTTAATGGTTGGACCTGATAGTCTTAGAAGTCTTTTTCAACCTTGACAATTCCTTGATTCTGTAAGACAGATGTCAACCAACAACAAATAAAATGCTGCATAATTTCCATTTGGATTTTGTAGGTGAGCTTAGATTTGTGAAGCACAGAAAAGGCTTATAGCAAAGAGTGATTAATTTTCCATTATGTGTTGAAAAAAAAAAAATTAAGGAGGCCTGGAGTAAATATGTTTCTAAGGAGAAGTTATACACACACAGAAAAACCCCACCCAAAACCAATAAAATAAGGCAACTGAATGAAGAATATTATTACATTTGATGCCAAAAAGAGAAGGAAAGAGAACTGGATAATAAGATACTTGGAGAAGATAAAAATCGATAAACTGAGAAAACTAGTGCATGAGAGATTTGGGGAGACAATTTGGGTTAAATCATGAGCTCTTCACTTCCTCCAGCACATGACAGGGACATACAGATTGTGGATACCAAGTCAAGCAGCTGAGGAAAGTTATCACTGACATCAAAGATTTCACAAAGTCAGAAAGAGCAAGTCACAAAGATATCACAGGTGTTACAGCTATTAGAGAAGAACCATGGAAAGCATTATTTTCTCATCAAAGAAGAAGAGCTATGACAAATTGGTGTCAAGAAGGCTAGACCAAGAATTACAGCTGCAATTTCCAACTTAGGAAACAGAGCTTTTCACTGAACTGGTAAATACCCTCTGGATATTTGCCCCATTTCCAAAGTCTGCAGTAAAATTATTTACTTTCTTCATTTCAGCCCTGGTGATGAAATTTGGAATTTTAAACAAATATTGTTCATATTCTGAAGTTACATTCCAATTTATGAGGCTCTACACATAACTATTTGTCACCTATTTTTTTCCATATTCAGTGAAGGGAATAAAGAACTGTTCAGTGGCATCACAACACCTGCTATTTCCAGAAGATAAATTGTTGCTAGATTAATTGGAAAGCAGACATCATCATTATTACAAAGACTACCCTATGAACATTGTGAGTGAAAATCCACACAATAAACAGGAGCATTTTCATCTATAATCACATCTGGTGCTAAAAAGCTCAAGTGACATTCAGTCAACTGTGCATTTCACTAAATAGTCAATCTGAAACAGCAGTGTCATGCTCCCAGCCTTTTTTTTAATTTTTTTTTTTTTTTTGTGACAATGTGCAAATAACTCAGTCCAATTCCCATTGCCTTTTAGTGACTCTCACAATGATTATTCAACAAACAGTCAGCATTTTTCTGGACATTTTGACAAGGCCACAGAAGAATGTGGAGGAGTTTGCAGACTAAAAAACTTGCCTTGCTAAATTTGTTTTTTAGTGCAAATAAAAACAGTATGGGGTCACTAAAAGTGTTCTTGCAATTAAGGGGGGAAAAAAAGCACAGTAGATATACTCACAAAATTTGAACTGTTCTTTGGGTTACACCAAGATTCCTATCCTATACAAAAGGCAGCATGACAGAAAATACTTTAATGATAGACTCAACAGATGAGCTGCAAAATTATATCCAGGTGGGGAAAAGGCACTTTCCCAGCAACCAGTGTGGGAGAACCCATCTGGGGCAGGAGCTGGCAGCCACCAGTGCCTGTGGGCAGCTCTCAGGCAGTGCAGGTGGGGCTGCAGCAGCCACCCTGCTGCCCTGATCCAGCAGTCCTGCTCCTGGGAAGGAGAGAGAGAGCTGGCAGAAGCAGATGTAGCTGCAAACCCAGCTCAAGCCTCTCTGACAGAGAAGGAGTTAAAGCCCTGATGAGCCACTGGGGCACTGCAGGGTCTTTCCTTCCCTTCTCTCATCCTCCTGAAGTGTGTGTGGCACAACCTTCAGTCCTGTGGTGTGCAGCTCATCAGACCGAGAAGCAGGACATCACTGCTCTGGTGCTGGCAGGCAGAGAGGAAACCACCAAAGCCCACGATGAGAGCTCACCGTGTGACAAAAACCTGTCCTTCACCAGTCACCACCAACAGTGAAGGTACCCACTGACAGGCAGCGAGAATGGAAATAGTAGTCAGTCACACTTCTAAGTATGAAGCTGCAATGACCCAACAGCGTGCTTGCTCTCTTGGTCTTGTTCTCTCTGTCAGTCCCTTTTGCCAGTCTCTCCCATTTTCCCCTCTCTGCTTCTGTACAAAATCATTCAACTCCCAAATCTCTGTCTTATCCCAAGCACCAAGGCCTTCCTTTCCGAGTATATACATGGGCCCCTGCTCAGCTAATCCTCTCTTCCTCCTTCCAAAGACTTTCAGCAGGGCTGACAGGCCCACTAGAATTGCTATCACCTGTTGGCAGCCTGGCTGTAATACATACTCCTGTGGTCAGCAGCTGCAGTGAATTGCAGACAGCTGAAAAAGAAGCCAACTCTGTGTCTGAACCTTCCTGCCACTTGTGCTCCTATTGTAACACACACAAAAGGTGAGCAGAAAATTAAGTGAGCTTGTTCAATTACTACTCTCTGCCTAGAAGCATTGTTCATGTCCCAGCCTTTCGTAAAACCACCCCCACTAGCCACATTATTCTCTTTGGCCTAATAAGTTTTATTAATCACACACAACAAGCTTGAAAAGGATGAGGGCCAATTTTATTGCAGAGGGAAGATACAATAATTAGGCAGCTAAGATCTTTTAATGCATTCAACATGTGGGTTTGCCTGAGCTCTGGGTTGATAACTTGAGCTTTTTGTTGGCAGTAAACTGGTTATAATCGAAGTCTGACTACAATGCTGTAAGCTAATTTTCTGAGAAGCTGCAGCAGGACAGCCTGAGGACACTGATGGAGCAGAGATGACTTCCTGAGGCAGTGAGCAAGCAAAGGCCATTCAAAACACTCATCTGAGTACAGTTTCTGCAGCATTAGTGTTTGGAAGGTTTGACAAATCTGACCAAAGAAACTTGAAATAAACAACTGGTCTGTGTGATTTTTTTCACCTTGGGGACACGAGGATGAGAAGAAATAAATGGTGTGGTTAGGATTGGGGCTTTTTTTCTTTGTTTTAAACATGCACACCACCTGCATTTTACCCAGCTTAACACTCTTGTTCTCCGTAAAACCGTGGTGTGCTCTCAGCTTCTCGGAAACTGGTCAACAAAGATTTACCCAAATAGCCACGGAAATCCTGTAGGTAAGTATTTAAATATTTGCACATTTACTTTAAAAAGAATCTTCAAAAATTGTCCACTGTTATTTCTCATTTCCATATCCAGTAGAGTTTCAAATTGTTTTGGTTTTTTTTGCCACATGCAACTATCTACCCAGGGGAAAAAAAAAAAAATCCCCCCAAACCAAATCATAAACTCTCTTATTTCTGTGACTCTTCTGGACGTGTTTCTTTGACCTTCAATATTTTGGGGTCCCCCGTGTCACTTTCTGGTTTCCAACACAAAATTGCAAAGACAATCCAGTTGCTAAAATGGATTAAAAGTGCTATATTTTCACCAGCAGTCTGTTTCTCTGGCACAGAAATACACCAGTTATTGTTTTGAGGGAAGGTAGTACATACCTCGGAGTCCATTTTCAAACAAAATTCAGGTAGGTGTTTTCCCCCGTCAGTCTTTAAAAGTTTCATCTGTTTCAAGACCTGTACTGATATATTGAGAAAAACAATGTGCCAAAGTGGCTTTTCCTCCCCCACCATCAGGAAAGACAAAGGCTTTCCTTTGTGGGTCAGGTCTGAGGTTTATTGGTTGCAGTAGAAGTTCAGGTAACTGAGTCTCATTAGTAGCTGAGCTGGTATCAGACTGCTTGTGCCTGCACTCTTATTGGTTCATATATATAGATCCTGGGATGTAATTCTCGTAGGTAGCCTCTGCTAAGACATGGGAGGGTGTGGACTTGGAGTTCCTAGTCTGCAATTCCTAGAAAGAAGAACATGTACCATTACATTATGCTGTAGGATTTTGTGGAATCATCATTCCTATAGAGTCCAAACAAACAAACAAAAAAAAGAGCAGAAGAAACCTGGTAGGTAACATCATTTTTGCAAAAGAAGTTACTTCTCTGAACTCTCTAAGCAAAAGGGTAGGGAACAAAGGGTGAAACCTGAGCTGGCAGAGAGATGCAAGAACAGCCTGCACAAAGCCTAAACAGGACAGGCTTTGAAAATTTCTTAATGTGATCGAAAACAAATTTTGAAATGTTGATATCTTCAGCAAAATAGATGATAATGAGCAATGCCAGCTTTTCTGGCAAAAAAACCCACAACACCCCAAACAACAAACCAAACCAACCAACAAACAGGCAGACCACAAAGCAATCCAATTTAGGCAACTAAAATTACTGTAAGCCTTTGACTTTGATTTCTGCAGCTCCCACTCCCGTCAGTCAAATTGTCCTGAATGCCACAGAAGAGCTTATCAGGAAATTAATTCCAACTTCAGAGCAGTCTGACTCGTTTGCAACAAACAAGGCACAAGACCATTCATTAAACTGTGAGCAGAAAACAAAATATGAAATAATTGCTCTTTCAATGTGCATTAAGTGAGGCAGAAGCCCAGAGGAAAGGGCAGCATATTCTGTCAAATATGTATCATGACATACTGGAATTAGAGAGGAAGTAAAATTTGCGGTGGCAAATTTATCCCTGCTGTTTCCTAGCTCCTGGGTATTGGAACTGCAACTTCAAAAAGTAAAAGTTTCATAACTGTGTTTGTCTCTAATACAGCAAAACAAAGTGGACTCTTTTCCCTCATTGTTAAACATGTCTGTTTTCATCTGATCTTTAGTCAAGCAGGTTTCTGCCATCAAGAGCAAACACATTCTTAAGCAAAACATCAGAGTTAAGATTACTCTGTGAAGCAGAAATATGAAAACATTAAGTTTTGGGACAGTTGACATTCAGCACGGTAAATGTAATCTATAGGAAGGAAATGCACTACACCTAGTGCTTAAACAATCACTCAGATACCCTGATTATACAAGAAGACAGGGTCATCCAAGCAACAGCCATCCTCCCAGATGCAGTGTTCCTCATTCCCCCCTCCAAGTGCACATAGACATAAATAGGAGTTTTGTCAGAGTAGACACACTGCAATTAAATTACACATTTTAGTGAAGAATGCACCAAAACCAGCAAAGCACACAGCAGAAGCCCACTTACTGCAGATGGTTCTGCTGGCCCCTGTGCCAACTGGTGTGACCGGAAAGCTGAAAGCAGGATGTCAGGATATTAAAATGGTTTGATGGTGCAAGGTACACAGGTTGTTATATCAGGAGTTCTCCTCTAGCTGTCCTCAGCTGTTGAAAGACTTTCTCCAGAATATACTCATAGGTTACGGTTTTGGGTTTTTGTCCTGCTCTTGAATACACTATTGTTTCATTTTTCCCTTCATAGAAACTTCTGGTCACTCTGAGTGTCCTGGTTCCTACTGGAATAGAGTTCATTTTCTTTTTAGTAGCTGGTACAGTGCCATATGAGAAATATGTTGATAACACACTGATGTTTTAGTTGTTACTAAGTAGTGCTTACCCTAAGTCAAGGACTTTTCAGCTTCCCAGGCACTGCCAGCAAGGAAGGTCACAACAAGCTGGGAGGGAGCATGGCCAGAACAGATGACCTGAGCTGGCCAAAGGAACATTTCACACCCCTGAAAGTCATGCTCAGTACATAAACCGGGCAGAGTTTGCCAGGAGCCACCAATCACTGCTCAGGGACGGACTGGGCATCCATCAGTGGATGGTGAGACTACAGCATACATGTTTCTCTCAGACTTTCTTTTCCTTCTCTCTTTCTCATTTTCACCACAACTTTTATTAATATTGCTATGATTATAATTAGTATCATCATTAGTATTATTAGTAGTACAGTTGTATTTGATTTTGTTTCAATTATTAAACTGTTCTTATCTCAATCTATGAGGTTTGTTTACTTTTTCTCTTCTGATTCTCCTCTCCACCACGGCAGGGTGGAGAGGAGTGAGTGAGGGGCAGCACAGTACTTAGCTGTAGTTGAAGACAGCACTGGGAGACATGACTGACGTGACTCTGTTAAGTGCACTTTTCGTCAGCTCTGCAGAGACACACTGGGCCAAGGAACCCATCTGACCATGCTTTTCCCTCCCCTCACCTGCTCCAAAGACACACACAACACACACATCACCCTGTGGCAGGGACAGGCTCCCATCCAAGTGCTGCAAGCACTGGTCAGTGCTGCCACTGTTGATGAAAATTGCCCCTCTGTTTTCTTCTCCTGTCTTTGTTTTCCTCACCTTCCCTTCTTTTCTCTTTTAGTGCACACCTTCACTCATTGTCCTCTCTTGTCAAACCTCTTTCACCATATTTGCTCAGCCCTGGTTCATGAAATAAATCAACTATGTAACATGCCCTATGCAGGGGCAATAATCTGAAAGATACTCACCTAGCTATACTTGGCCTATTCTTACACTTGCTGATGTAAAGAGAACTTCTTTGTGTCTAGTCATTTGACTAGTTTGTGAACTGCCATTCTTACTTATAGAATTTTATGCCAGTGAATGTAGATCAAGATAATTTTAAAAACTCAAAACACCCTACTCTCAGAATGAACTCTTTTCATCCTGGATGACTCTCTGACATATATGTAACACATCAATATCGTAATACCTATGGCTCTTACACAGCTCCTAATTTGTTTTAAAGTTCCCACCCCATTCTCATGTGATAAAGCACAAGTCCTTGTACCTGCACATGGTCAGCAATGGAATTGTAATACACTTCAGATTCATCAAAGACTTACCTCTGCACCTGCAAATCAAGCATAAAGTCACACCAGTGACAGCAGCAACACTGGCAGATCCTCCTATCAGGAGATAGGGAAGGCTGGGGGAAGCATCTGAGGGATGAGAAACACAAGCAAGTTACAGAGCTAGGCATCAGTATCCACTCACTACACTACCCACCTTAACCAGAGGAAAAGGCTAATCCTCTGCCTCCACAGCTCAAAGGAGCAGAGAGAAACAGATGATCTGTCTGGATGCCAACCAGCAACAGGAAGCTGCCCCACACACCCAGTCATTTGTGTGTACAAATACATTTTCATTTTCAACTCATCTGCCTTCAAGGTCTCCTTTTCTTCAACTATTATTATCCCTGCAGCAACAGAACTGGCCAGCCATCCCTGCCAAATGCTGCTATTAATGATTTGTCTATGCTGACTTCTGTCCTTTGTGCCTCTACTGAGGTGTTTTCATGATGTGAGCGCTTATTTGGCTGTTCTTACAAATCCTCCTGCAATAGAGACTTCTAATAGCTCCAAGACAGCCAGCTGAAGAAGCTGAATTTTACCCTTTACTACCTCTGGTCCTCAGAAGGAACATTCTATCAATGTTCTATCACTACTGTGGGAAGCTGGACAAAATTCAGCTTCAGTTTGTGAAGAACTCCAGCCCACAGGAAGGACTCCTGTTGGAGTAGTTCATGGACTGTCTGCTGTGGGAGCTCCACACTGGAGCAGGGAAAAAGCCTGAGGAGCAAGGAGCAGCAGAGATGAAGTGTTAAGAACTGACCACAGCCCACATTCCCCTATAAAACTCAGGGGGAGGAGACAAAGAATTTGGAAATGAAGTTGAAAAGAAGGGGAGAGTTGCGAGGAAGGGTTTTTTTAGATTTGTTCTTGTTTCTCACTATTCTACTCTGATCTGATTATCCATAAATTAAATTAATTTCTCTCAAGTCTGTTTTGCCTATGACAGTAATTGGTGAGTGATCTCTTCCTGTCTTTATCTTGACCCATGAGCTTCCCATGGCATTTTTTTCCCTGTTTTGTTGAGAAGGGGGAAAAATCAAAGAGCTTGGTGGACACCTGGCAGCCAGCCAAGGTCTACCCTCTAGAAACAGAATGAGGAATTCTTGTAAAACAGAATAGGGATAGAAAGAAACACGCACTGAAAGCTTCTCCATACAGGGCCACAAAACGTTTGGGTTCAACTAACTCAAAACTATTAATTTCTCTACCAGCGTGCACTAGGACTTTGGCTTATAACTGCACTAAGCAAACCACAGAGCCCTGACCTTCTTTCCATGGGAACTGCTGCACAGAGGAGCACAGAGAAGCCCAAGAGCAGGATGAAGGGCATTTATAAGGGTACTTACTTGTCAGGTCTATGGACAGAGTCTGGTTTGTGGCTGGGTGGGTAACCAGGCAGGTGGCAGTGGGTAGGGTGCTGTTGCCCCAGCCTGTGTAGCTCACCCTGGTCACTGTTCCATTGGGGTGATGGATTTCTTCCTCAGTGCTGGGATTACTTGCAGGGATCCAGGAGATGTCAGCAGCTGGCTTTCCCCCAGACGCCTGACAGACAGCCCCCCTGCCCTCGTCATAGCTCAGAGTCGCTCTAGGAGGGACTACAGAAGAAATAAATGTTAATTTAAAAAAAAAAAAAAGCCACAACCATTATTTCTAGTTTGGTATAAAATCACCAACTGAAACTGAAAAGCAAGTGGTGTTTTTTTGTTTGCATGACCAATTCATGAGATTTTAAAATAATTTGAAATATTAGCACCAGCTATCTTTAGAGGAAAAAAGTTCAAGGTTAATACCTCAAAAACTACCTGGCTGCATCTAAAATACTCCTTCCTCCCATTTTCGAAAAGGTGATTACAGACTAACAGGTGATGAGATAACACAGAGGGGTGGATTAAATCGAGATTTAAAAGTAGAGCAGTGCACATTCTGAAGAAAATGCAGCTTGCTGAAGCTCCAGGTGAAACATTTAGGAGATTGGATATGTAGAATCAAAAATTTGATAGCAGGGAAATAAAAGAGGAATTGAGCAAAACTGTTCTGCTTGAAGTCCAACAACTCATATTCTGCATTTGACAGAACAGGGAAAGGCTCACACACCCCCTTAAGCCTGTATCAGAAAGGTAAGACTCTGCAGGGAAGAACAAAATAAAAACAAACCCAAAACCAAACCAAAATAATAAAAAACCTCCAACCAACCAAAAAAAAAACCAAAATCAAGTGACTAAAATTAATAGTAGCAATTATAGAGCTCCAAAATTTATTTCCCATAATTTTTAGTTATATTCAGAAGGCTTAACTAATATGTCCAGCACACAAAATCTTCGCCAATGTTGTTTTTTCCTAATTTATGGAAACCTAGGGATAGTTTACCTGACCATCTGAAAAAAGATGTTTTATTGTATTCATTATATTTCCTAATATTCTTTCTTTCCTGTCTGTGTTGAAAATAGACTTTTAAAATAATTTTTATTCTAATGATGCAGTCTTACCTATCACAGTCAGAGAAGAGGAAAAATAAAAATTCCCTTCACTGTTGATAATTTCACAGCTGTAATTTCCCTCATCACCGAGGTTCACAGGGTAAATGCGAAGGGCAGGGTCACTGTCAGGTGAATATTTCCATATGATCCTCTCACTGCAGTTTATCTTCCCTGTCTCACTGTGATCACTTCTGTAGGCCAACACACAGCAACTGCTGCATTTCTTCTTCCATGTCACCATCAGCAAAGGCTCCTTGAAGATGTAAGGGCAGCTCAGCACAGCCTCATGACCAACCTTCACACTCACCATGTTGGAAGCTACATAAGAAATAAAAAAGACTTAAAAAAGATGCTGCACCACCATCAAAGCACAGGAAACTCTTGGCTTCATCACACTTAAAAATTTCTACTTCCTCACTGTACTGGCAGCCTTGGGGACAAACTGCTCTGTGCAGGCACAGTATTCAGTTTCCAGGTCTGGCTTCCTGAAGTCTGGTGGAGATGGTATCTTTTTGCTGTGGACAGGTATGTGATGAATGCAAATGAGCTGCAAGTCCTCCATCTTATTTTAGGTGACAAATTTCTATCACTAACATAGGTTTTGAGAAACTGATGAGGGGGACAAAATTCACTCTTGGGGGAAAGGAAACTACCTTTTTTTTTTTAAAATTCATTGTGTTGCTGAATTAGGTGCCTTTCTTAAAGTGCAAGTAAAACTGGGGACAGCTGTGGAATGTATGCCTGTGACAGAGTTAAAACCCAAGATCACTTGGTGCAGTAGATTAGTAAGGGGCACACATAGATCTCTTTTCTACCAGCAGTCATAGCTCTCCTGCTATTGTCCCAGTTGAACAGCAGATGTGTCTTCAGATGGTTTGTGTTGGATTCCTATCAGATGCATCATCCTGTGCCACTCTGCAAGGCACACGATTATTTTACCAGCTGAGGTGACATCACTCTTTGCATTGACATTAAACAATAAGCAAAATTTGCTCTGGTGAACTATGAAGTTTTGGTGTACTTGCAAGTTAGAAATGCAGACCACTTGGATCTTTCTGACTTACCTTCAACCAGATTGATTGGCAAGAAAAGGAGCACAGCCAGGACTGCCCATTTCTGAGCCATCTTTAGCAAAAGGATTCAGCACTGCAGAAAGTGAAGGCAAAGAGAATGACACGGTAGCCACAAATTGTTGTGTAAATCTCTTCAAAGAGTACATGTAGTAAAACGTCCCTTTTCTTTGAAAACAGAAGTTCTAAATGAAATGCCTTGTCAAATATCCTTCTTTTACTGAAGAAAGTAAGGCAAAAAGGGAGTTAAAAGCAAACAAACAAAAAACCAAACAAAACCCAAAACAAAGACAACAACAAAACATAAACAAGTCACCCAGTACTGTTTACAAACAATTTTTTTTAAAATCCAAGATCTCTGATACCACTCAAGATCTAGAGTTCATCAACTGCTGACCAAAGAAATTATTCCTGACCCTTGCATGCTTTTAATTTCTTGACAGTTAACTCTACTTCTGCAGTAGAATAAAAAGAGTAACCCTCCTATTGCAAGAGATCAAAACCATGTGAGTTTGTTTCCTGCTTTCATAGACACGGTGAACTAAAGAGGCATCCAGTAACTCGTGCTGTTCTACAACTACACATACCTTTCAACAAACCGTATCTCAAATTTCTAGCTCCTTTTTGGCAAAAGGGCACTGATTCTTTGGTAAGACTGAGACAATGTTGTCATCCCAACATTTTTTTTTCTGGTTCGCACAAGAAAGCAGAACTCTATGCTATCCAAAAGCTTTCCAACCAAAATATATATGGTTCTCAGCGGAGTGTTTTGATGTAAACTCATTCAGCTATTTCTTGAACGCAGATTTGGCTAAGAACATCACTGATATTTTCCTGTGGTCAGACATCATACGTAAATGACCTCAGTCTGGCACAGCAAAGTTGCACTACTCTGTACTGAACAACATACATATGTATTCCCCGCCAGTTGGGGGATAAAGCCCAGGCATGGGAGTGTGTGCCTGTTCCCACAGCCTGACTGCAGTTTCCTGATGTTACTGTCAGAAATCAGTGGCTGCATTTTTGTCCTGGGGCTCCCTGCAGCCTGCCCATAAGGCTGTCTCATTTTCCATCACTCGCCTCTGCATTCACTCTAATTGTCTTCTTGGTAGACCTTTTGTCATTCTCCCCTTCATGCTGCCTTTTGTATCTCTTTAATATTTTACTTTCTGAATCAGTCACCCACAGCTAGAGATTATTGGAAAATTGTGTTTCCATCCCAAGGGAAATACTGATATGTTGTTTTCCTCCCCAAGTCAAAACCCAATATGCACCAGACAAGCAAATATCTTTGTGCAGTGGCTGATTCAGAAATGTCCCATGTGTCACAACAGGACTTTCCTTCTGGGTTATTTAGCTCACACAGTGTTTACACCTGTATCCAAACACAGGGATGCTTCTCAGCATGTGCTGAGAGAAAGGAAAGGCAGCCAAGGTTCGCTGTGCACAGAGACCTAAATCCTCATCTGGTGTCAACTGCTATAGAAGTAGCCAGCTTCAATTATATTAACAATTTCATTTTAAATGTGAAACATATCAAATGAGGATGGCTGGTGCACACAAGAAAAACCACAACACTGCCACACTTGTGGCACAGGAAGAACAAAGGCTGCCACAGCCGTGAGCTAAATGCAAGGGAAGGTAGTATTTCCTTAAACACAGTGCAGTATGTATGTACATTTAGACACAGAATCATAGAATCACAGAATGGTGTGGGTTGGAAGGGACCTTAAAGATCATTTAGTTCCAATCCCCCGCTGTGGGCGGGGACACCTTCCACTGGACCAGGTTAGTAAGAGCTCCAACCAACCTGGCCTTCAACACTTCCAGGGATGGGGCATCCACAACTTCTCTGGGAAACCTGTTCCAGCGACTCACCACTCTCAATAGAATTGTTTTCCTCAAAGAATTGTTTTGTTCACAATTCTAATGGCAGAGTGATACAACTGGATGAAAAGCTTACGTTACAACCTGGAAAAAAACACCAATACAGCCACATTGATCCATATTCTGCTACTAATGTACAATAGACAGTGTAACTCTCACATTCAAAAAATCTCAAATTTAATTTTCATTCACATAAAATCTTTTCCAATAAGGAAATATTGTATTTTGTTTCATTTTATTCAATGCTGTCAGAAGTTTGGGGATTTTTTTCTTTAATTTTTTTTTTGCATTTTGGATACATTATTCCTGCAAAAGTTGCTTTCAATCAAAGAAGTTTGAAACTTTGAAAGTTGAATTTTTTTAACCAAAAAAAATAAAAAAGTATATGCTCTGCCCAGAATTATGTACTGAGTTTGACCCAATTTGCAAATAATTTCTCAGTCTCTTTCAAAAGAAAAGTAACAAAAAACCCAAAGCCTCCACAATGTTTATCAGGAAATTCAGTATTCACCAATTTTGATAGATCTATAAATATTCATAACAGTATATTGTCATATTGGAACTTGTCCCAGAGAACTATCTTTTTTTTAAATGCATACAAGTCTCATATATATGAGGTTTATTTGCTCAAAAGAACAGGCTTTAATGATTAAAAATGGGACCTTAAAGAAAGAACAGAGTACATTACTCCGTTCAAATATTCATGTGTGAAATGCAGAATTTAGTCTGCAGTTTTTAAGGTTCACAGTCCTTGAATACTTGTGCCTGAGAGCGAGAAGGAAGTCTCAGAGTAAAACCCAGAAAAGAAAAACCAAGCACAGCTGAATCAAATTCATTTAAAAGCAGCGAACGAATATTTGAAGCTTGCCTTGTGTTGTTCCCTTTGACGGAATTAAAATGCCTCAACAACTGCATTAAAATAAATTAAAAGTTTTACTCAGCCTCGGTGGCGGCGGTTGGCACAAGACCACGCAATATGTGCATCACTCTTCCATTGGCCTCAGCCTTCCAGCTGGGGAACGGCACCGCTCACGCTCGGATTCATCCCAATGAGTGCTGGGGCTGGAGGAGAGTTGCCCAGTTATCAGCCTGGAGGGGAGCCCTCCAGCCCCGGGAGCGAGGGAGATGGACAGCAGTGCCAGTGTGCTCCGGGCTGCTGAGCCTCACTGCTCTGGGGATGAGTAGAGAGACACTGGCACACGCAGCCGGTCTCACATGGATGCTGGTCCAGTGTGGATGCTGGTCCCACGTGGATGCTGGTCCCAGTGACTGCTTACAAGGCAGCTCCTGTACGGCAGGGAATTGCAGAGATGTATCTGCAGCTCCCCTCCCTCTCTGTCCTCACTAGGACCTGGACATGACCTCAAAGAAGTGAGAACTACCTCAGTTTAGGACCATCCCTCCCAGGTAGTCCCTGTTTTCAGCTGTATGGTTCATTGATTTCTTCTCGTTGTTGCTTCTGAGATCTTGACATGCAGCTGATTTGTCTCACGGACAGACATAGCCTCCACGCCTTCCAAAAGAACTGAGTTGTACGCTCCCCTGAAGAGGATGTGGCACAGTTAAATTGAGAGAAACAAACTTTCTGACATGAAGAACAAATCACGAGCTCAGCTGCCTGTTCTTACACATCAAACATGAGCTACAAGCCTTGAGCTATGCAAGGCAACAACTTAAAACAAAATACAAATAAAAGCTAAGTCCAACACGATTAAAATACACGTTAACACAGTACAAAAGAGGAAAAGATCAGCTATCAATCAGTGCATTGGTCATCACCACAACTTTCTAACGCATGTATGTCACGTACAGGTCATATATGTCACATAGCCATTCCAAATAATTAGCAAAATATGGTTCTGTTTTGCAGTGGAAGCACATTTTAAAGGGTAGAAAAGACCCAGCCTCAGAAGTCTGTTCTCTGTAAGACCTGTGTCTTTGGGCAAGGAAAGGCTGGGAGGGATGGCAGGAAGAGGAGGCAGTTGCACACATTTGTGTCAGCTTCAATTATGAACAAGTTCTACAAAACAACTGTAAAATTACAGTGTTTTGGTATCATATACCTGAAGGAAAATAGGTTTGAAATTTCCTCCACAACAAGGCAGAGGTTTGTGGTGTCTGTCTACTGCATTCATCAATATATTTAGAATAATACCAATATTAACATTACAAAATGTGAGTTTTTTCCCAGGGGAAAAAGTATTTGCTGTACAGAAGATGAGCATTTTGTCCTGCTTTTTTTCCCCTTATCTTTCATAGCTGTAATTCAAGAAAGCGGATGGGCATCTCCTCTCGGAGATATTTACCTTTTTAACACCAGCCCGTCTATAAAGTAGCTTAGTCCCATGAAGTTATTCCATAAGCCAAGGTGTACACCTCACATCTGTAGCTGTCTTGCAGCCAGCTCCCTCAGAAAGCACTGTAGCCCAGTCCTGGAAATGGGGAGTAGGAGCAGAGGATGAATGAGAACACCACCCCCTGGTAGCCTGTTCTCCTCCTTTCAGAAAGAGAGAAGACATTTGCTTTATCTTTTCCATTATATGAGGAAAAAAAAACTAGTTCTTGTACCTAAACAGCTGGACTTTCCCAGGTATAAACTACGTGTGGCACTCACCAGTGTCAGCCAACAGATGGGGGAAAGCCTGAGAATAATGAAACCTTTAAAACCTGACACTTCCAGGTTAAAATATCCAGAGACAATTATATTGCAGAGATAGATTTCAGAGATTTTTTTCCAGAGATTATAGATTTCAAAGATGAAGATAAAGTACTCCTTTTTTAACTGTAGCTGATTTTCCCCTAATCACACAGTCACTGGGCCAGCACAGCCATGCTCAGCAACTTCTGCTTCTGGCCTAGAGAACCCCCTTACCACTCGTGACACATTCACCTCAGGGGCTTCTCACCCTACCCCAATACTCCAGCAACCAAATCTATCTACCACGTAGATGTTTGTGACCTTAACTACTTTAATTCCTACCCCTTGTAGGCCTACTGCTCCAGAGTCATCACACAGGAGATGATTTTTTTCAATTTTTTTTTAAGGAAGGGAAAATCTTGTCTCTTGTGTTTATAGCACACCTAGATCAACACTTCCAAATATGAAATACATACTGTTACCATATGGAAAAGGACAAGGTATCAATAGTTTTCTTTCGGTGGCTTCCATTTCTGTGATTTTTTTTTTTTTTTTTTTTGGCTAGTGGGACAAATTGGTTGTGTAACAAAGCATACCTGAAACAGAAAGGAAAAAATGACACATCCCACCTCTCAAATGCAAACTGAAGTCATGACACCAGAGTCAGGATGCCATTTAGCACCACCTACACTCTTTTGGTGCAGTGTAACAAACACAAGGGGATGCCTGTGCTTTACCTGTTTCCTTCCTCCCCATACAGGCTCCTCTGCTGTCACAAGCTCCCTTTCTCATGAGCCAGTTAAAATTTACAGCTCTATGTCAGCCAGTGGGTTAGAAATATTCTCCACAGTGGTTTCCAGTGAAACTTCTCACCTCATTTCTCTCCTGGTTACCAGTACTTCTGGAAGATTTTATTCTCGATGCAAGGGAGTATGATGCAGAGGAGTGCAGTTGCTGGGGGAAGTCCTATGACACATCCTTGTTCAGGTTTGTGCTGCCCAAACTGCCCCCACTTGTTACAGACCAGTGGTCTGCAGGTGGAAAACACAACTTGAAGTCAGGTCATCTCCTACGAAAGTTAATACTGCCATGGCACTGTGGGTTTGCTGATAAAAGATCTTCATTATCTCACCTCCCCAGCGTGGCTTAAAATAGAGCCCAGCGGGGAAGCCCCTGAGGATGGGGTGCCAGAGCTTCTCCAGGCTGGGAGAACATGCACACCAGGACTTCAGGCTCCTTATTCAATGTCCAAAGGTGCTGTGTGAAAAGTTGAGGCACGGCACTACAAAACAAATGAGAGAAAGGGAAATAAGATTTAAAAAAAAAAAAAAAAAAAAAAAAAGGTCAACTAGCACAGAGTGTGCAGAAGTGTCAGGAGGGGACACAGGAAGCCTCTCACTCCCCTCTACAAGGACTTGGCCTCATATATTCATGCCACAGACCACAGTCTTCTTCCCAACCCCCGGCCTCAGGCCTGTACAGGCTATGTACATACAGCTATGTCCATGCACAGCTGAGGATCCACCTAAAATACACATAAAATGTCTTAATTTGCTGAAAGGGTCTGTGCTGTGGCCACATCTATGTGTGCATGTTGCTACCTGTATGTGTGTTTTAAAAAAATCAATATCTAGGTACAACACCACACACACCCTTTAAGAGCTGCTGCATTTAAGTGACAAAGGTATGCAGGGATGCTCAGCTGGCGGGGCTGCGTCATCGATGACATATCATTTCCCACGTGCTTTATTGCCAGAGCTAGTTTATGACTTCTGTGATCACAAAGAGACTCTGGCTAAAGGATTTTAAAAATGCTTTCACAGGCATGCACCAGAGGCACCTTAGAACTACACAGGCTTCCAACAAGGCCCTTCTCCCAAGCAAGGCAAAAGGGTAAATTTTTCCTCACGTAATAGAAAACAAGCTGTGGACAATGAGTACCTGCAACTGAGCAACGGAGAGGACAAGCTCATTCAAAGTCCACCACCTCTACTCAACCAGGGCTACGTACACATACTACAAAACTTCTCTAAACTTTGATGCAGTCAACAAGGGCACAGGGATCTTGTTCTGCCCGTAAGGGATCCTGGCTGAATGCACAGCTGGACAGTCAGCTTGAAAATCCATTTTCACTGAAAAAGGCATTTTGATCTGGAAGCTTTGGACGAGCAGTCTGCATTTCTTTATAGGTTCTAGAAATACGTATTTCATAATCTCCTCAAATGCCTTTTTCCTGTTCACACAATGCAGTTCTGAGATGATTACCAAAAGAACTTTTGTTTTTTCCTGTGAAATAGGCAGATGGCACTGGCCTGGCAAAGAGGAGGAAATGAGCACTATAGGTTACTGAGTAGGTCCTGAGAGAAAACCCAGCTCTGGCTGCACTGTTGTCGAAGACAGGGAGAGTACATCCTGACTTGTGAAAGAGATTTTTATTTGGGAAAATCAGATTTTTCCATCCCCTACCTCGATGTAGATAATTTGTTGTTGATTTTAGTTTTAGATTGATTGATTTTGCATTTCACTACAATTTTTCTCTTTGTGGCTTTAACCATCTAGTAAGTAGTAAAATGAGCTTTGCCAATGAATTTTGTCACGTTTTCACTTTAATATTAAATCTGCTTTGGCTGATTCCTTTGCTGGTGATTTTTTTCAGCAACCTAAAACACTCATTCCTGACAGAAAATTAGCATTTTCTTATTACTGAAGGGCACTTACCTCAGAGAATGCCTAGTCTTGACCGTGTGTCCTCTGTAAGTGCATGTACCTCTGTGACAACAGCTGTCCTTAATGGATAGAATATAAGGGTATTTTGAGCTGGAATTTCATTAGCTGTGTTCATGTCCCCAGTTACCATGGATATACACACTGATTCTCCCTCTCTCAATTTAAAATGTCTCTCTGGTGTTTTATTACTTACAGACCTGCTGCAAGCACCTTGTATTTACAACCTCTCAGCCTAAGCCCTCATTTTCACGTGTAGTTGCAAAGCAAGCTATTTGGAGACAGCTTCTGTGCTTATCCACAGCATAGAATAAAGAACTCTGAAGAGTTAAAAATGTCTTTGAGCTCAAGAGAAGTGCCTCTTTAAAATTCCTGCTTCATATTCTAGTGCCTTGCAAAACCAGAAATTCTCTCTCTCCTTGGTCTCTCCTCAGCTATTCCTTACAGTTGCCAGGAGGTGGAAACATAGCTACACCAACCTACAGCAAAAGCATCGTGTTGGTGTGCAATTGTGCAGCATGCTGCCTGCTGAAGAATAGTGCTAAAAATATCTGCAGTCTGAATTGGCTCATTGGAGCCCAAAACATTGGATCAGAGAATGCTCTTCCTGAGCCCCTCCAGGTCCCCCTTCCCCCAGCTAGCAAGAAATCCTAACGGCTTGTTACAGATGCCCTTTTAAGCAGCTGCTTCTGTCAGATGTGACACACACAATTATTCCAACAAGAATCCAAAATCAGGCTGGCTTTGATGGAAAAGCTCATGCAGCAGCAGCAGCAGCCATCGCAGCTCTGCAGAACTGAGCAGACACCTCGCAAAGTGGCAAGGAGAGAAACCTTCACTTGATTTATTTGTTTAAAAGATATGTGTCTGCTTTGACATTCAAAAATGTTACAAATATGTCCAAGTATGAAAAACATGGCAGACATCAGAAGTGCTCATCAGACAAGCTTTAATCACCACCGAAACAGATACAGATGTCACAATCTCCCCTTTGTCATTTGGTACCAAATTTTAAGCCCTGAGAGAGAAGCCCTTTGACAAAAGGCAAATTTTATATAAATACTTGGAAAAGAGGAGAGGGACACAGCACTGTTAAAAGGTTGTAGACAAAATAACCTTTCAAAACATCCCAGAGTTAGGGTAAAACATCACAACTGATTTTGGTTTCTGTTTTCAGAACAGTGAGTTTGACACTGACTTCGTTCCTGCTCCCCCTCCTTAAGCTCATACAAATGAGAATATTTGCATCTTTCTCAGAGCAAACTGAAGAGCACAGAGGATGGACCAGAAAGATGCGAGGAGATGTTTCAGAGGAGAGAGGAACACAGGAAATCCTTCTTTCCATAGAGAGCTGTAGAAGAAAGGAAAACCTCCCTGCATGGGAGGCAGGTCCTGGAAAGTACAGCTGGAAAGAAACCAAATCTTCATTTCAAAGAGCACAGTGATGAGAAATCTCTTGCCTCAACGAAGGCAAAACCTGGAGGAACTGGCATTGATGTCAGAAAATTTCAATTTTATGACTAGAAAAATCATGAAGAAATTATCTTCTCTCTCTAGGAGGTAGATGGGTTTAATAGGTAAAAGGAATAATCCCAATGAACCAGTATGAGGAAGTCCAGAAATAAGTCCCCCAGAACTCTGAAGTGTCCATGAAACACCACATGAATCCCAGACAAATCATGTGCAATAAAATGAAGTTACTCTTACAGCATCTCAGGAACAGTAGGTTGTTTAAGCAAAGCAGCTCAGACTTCACAGGGTCTTCACATTATGAGTCCTTGGGTGGGGAAAAAAAAGACATACACATAAAGAAGGAAAATAATTTACTGGTGTTCAGGAGCAAAACTAAATTATATTAATTGACCAATCCAATTAATCAAGCACAAGCTTATTCAAAAAGTTACCAGTGGAAGATCACATCTCAGATTTTCTATTGAGGCATCATCTGGCCAAGGAGGAAGATTTTCACACATCTAAATCAACTTCCTGCTCAGAGGCTTGGTATTTAATTTGCAAGGTACCTGATGTCAAATTAGTACACAACTCCACGTTCCCCTAAGGCCATACAGGAGGCACCTGAAGTCCATAAAACAATGCTCCTGGCCTCATTCAGTGCTCTCTGTTTTGGCACGACTAAGAACAGGACACTGAGCCAGCTGACTTCTGTGGGTGTTGGCTGGAATCCAGCTCAGCTGCACCTTCTGCAGAATCCCTCAAACCTAACGCTAGTGCAAGTTAGTTGGGATCACTTCACCTTCCTGCCTGGGGAGTTTTACCCTGTTAACCTCTATGGGGTTATTACAAGGGGAAAGGGGTGTCATTAAATATAAGGACCATGCCAGAAATTCACCCAAGTGACTTGTAATTGTATAAAATCAATCATAAAATCTATTTTAAGAAAAAAAAAATATAAACACTCTTACCTTTGACACACACAATTATCCAGGATATCATAACCACAGTCCACATCTCCTCCAGCCCAGAATCCACCCTCAGAGCTTTGTTCTCTTCCAGGTCAACCTCTGTCCTCTCTGTGGAATTGACAATGTTCACATCTGATATAATGATGACCAACATGCAAAGAAAAGTCTGCAGAGCTGCATCTTTCCTGACATAAAAATTGCTGCCAAAACGGGGACCGAAGGCGTAATTTTTATTTTATTTTTTAGTCGAAATATTTCGTAGAAAAAGAAGATGCAGGACAATTGTAATCCCTACATTTTAACAAAGCTGGGGAACAGCTTGGAAGGAATATGAATTGGTTTCCCAAACTACCCCAGATCAGAACCAACCTACAAAGCTCACCACCTTGGCTAATGAGGCAAAATAGATATTTCCATCTTCTGGAGGCTTGGAGCTGAAGTTACTTGGCACAAGTGGAGGACACCATGCCATAGGACCAGTTAAGACCCACATAAAAATGATTTCACAGAGGCGCTGTCACTGTTTGTTTCAGCCTTCCCAGTCTTTCTGCACAGTATTTTTTCTATTCTAAGCAGTGAAGCAAGAGAATGAAATTCACCTCAGTGAGAACAGAGTAATTCACAGTAGTGGCTGCTGTATTTTAGGTCCCCTAAGCACCAATCCTCCCTGAGGTCTACGTACGCTACAGTGAATTCAGGAGGCAATAAGGCCAGGCTGTTTACGTACACAAAAGTCTCCATTTAAGGAAATGTGTAGATCTCCATTTTAGAGAAAATATCTTTGCTGCCTGTGAATGCAGCTGTGGCTATAAACCCAGAACAGATGCCAGGTGAACAGTGGCAGATCTGCACCTAACCCGAGACTAACGTACATTTTCCCGCCCTGCTTTTTCCACCCAATTCCTTTCAGCTCTGGTAACGGTGCTCAGAGTGGGAATCTCATGGGAAACTATTTCCATTAACTCAGAGAGAGCCACAGCCAATCTAATACAAATCCCCAGCATTTTTCACGTGTCAGCCTTGCATTTAGCATGCACAGATGAAGAGACAGAGGAGCCTGAAGCTTATTCCACATGTCACAGTGTGGCAGCGATCAATTCTAGTTTCACGCCCTGGGAGGAGAGGATACATCTTCATGAACACAGTTTTTATCACGCAGAAATTTCGCTGGAGACACAAGCATGTCACCTCCCGACTCCCTCTGCAGACAAGCTCCTGGACACACAGAGCTTACCTGTTACATTCACCCTGATGAAGTGTCCCACAGCATTCAGGACAGTGTTCTTTATCTTGGCCCTGCACTGGTAGCGGCCACTGTCTGACTGGTTGACTTTCTGAATTTGCAGCAGCAGTGAGGACATGACTTTCGCCGTGGGGTCTGAGTTTTGGGAGAGGTGCAAGCTTTCCATCTCCTCCCCAAACCCAGTCTCGTTTTGCTTATTTGCCCTTTTATACCAGTGAGCCTCGAGCTGTGACGATTCATTCTGTTGGTGCCTGATGAGGCAGTTCAAATTCAGGCTCTTGCCTTCTTCCAGGTATTCTGTGGTAGGTGCATAAATGATTTCCAGTGTGCTGTGTTCTGTGGTGAGAGAGAGCAGACATTAGCTGAACTGACCTTTGTGCCAGGCCAACTCCTCCTCCGCCCCATATTTGTCCACTTGTTTCTGCACGATGAAAACAAGAGCTCTCTTATGCTTCAGGTGTGCTCAGAGCAGCCAGGATAACAAGCACCACAATGAAAACAATAATAATTCCCTTGCAAGAAAGGAAGAAAAAATCTGTTTCTTATCATGGATCTTGCAGAAAAGGCATTATGAAACAGAACATTCTCTATAATCTTCACTAATTTCATAGAAATGGAAGACGAGAAGAGCATCCTGTCTTCAAAAAAGGAAGTGAAAGCATCAGGGGAGAGGTGATATTTGGGTGGGCTGCTGTTTTTACCTCTTCAACTTGAAGGTTTGTGCTTTCATCAGGTATTGAACTGTTCCACAGAAAGAAAATCTAAAAACACTGATTGGCTCAAAATACTGCTTTTTGGGGGTCAGGTTTCACCTCCCAGCTCCCTAGTCAAAAATTACCACAGAGAAAACAAAAGACTGAAACTCATCATGCAGAGCGCAGCTCAGTGAAAGCTTATTGCAGTAGATGTTCTTTATTTCCCATAATCCAGGCAGCATCTCTTGGCCACACCAAGTAACTCCTAAACTGGACTAAAAAAATGCCAGCAGTGTGCTTTTCCTTGCCAGGGCTCCTCCTTACCTGACACCAGCATTGCCAGAGCTGCCATTCGGAACGCCAGGACGGGACTGCCGCCTCCCACCCTAGCGAGGAAGCTTGGGATCAGAGTCATCTTCTGCACTAAAAATGGAAAGAGAAGGAAAAAACCAGAAGCCATTACCTGTGAGTTCTTGTCACAGAGCTGAGGAGAGCCACTATCGCTTATCCTGGTGCTGCAAACCTGCCCTAGCACTTACAGAGCAGTGAAACAGGCACAGACCTTCCCCTGAGGTGATGATCTTGTAAATGGCAGAGTAACCCACTGCAGTTAAACAAGACACGCACAGGAAAGCACAGAGGTCCTTAAAAGAAAACCAAAAAAGGAAAAAAAAAATAAATAAACAACAAGACAATAGATGTCACAAACCAGAACACCCACACACTGTGAGTAAACTCAAGAGTTGCAGCAACAAGCTACTTGAGGCTCAGAAGGCAGCAGCTAACACAACTGAAGGTTAGGACTTGGGCACAATCACACAGTTAGTTACTGCTGCAGTGTACAGTGAATTGAACAACTGTCAACAAATTCCTAAAAGCTAGCAAAATCCCTTAGTAATTGTTTCTCCTCCTCAAGAGGGCACCTGTATCAAATTATCTGGCTAGCACAGGCAAAGAGCCTGACTCCCAGAAAACTGTCTCAGGACAGTAAAATGGATGTACAACAGGCTACTGGCATCTCTTTTTCATTGATATAAAAAAAAAATCAATTCTTATTACTTTCTTAATTTGTACTCTAAGTAGAAGAATTCTGGTGTGAGCATCAGGAAAAAAATAGAGAAAATCTGAAAGAAAAAAACTAATGCTTACCACAACATCCTCCTGTTTCAGACTAGCATTAGAGGCAGGAGAGATTATTTTTTTCCTCCAAAAATATAAATTTTCCTTTTTTCCTAGTAAAATAAAGCTGTCTTTTAGAGACATCTCTAAGTGCCAGGACAGCAAGTGGAACATGGCACACTGCTGGGAAGGAGAAAAGCGAGAGGGGTTTGCTGGGCCTCCATTTTCCAAAAGGGTAGGTGCCTTGAGGGATTCTGAGATTCAGAAAGTAACTAAAAATAAAAATTTTAAAAAAAAGAAACAAAACAAAAACAAACCAAAAAACAACCACAAAAATTGTTTCCTTGGTGATTGATTTTTTCCCTCTCAGTTTAGCCTGGGCAGGACTTCTGCTTGTTCCAAATTGCCCAGTGCTTGTAACCTACGTGCTTGTGTCCTTGTGTACTTGTGTGAGCTAAATCAGTTCTTTTGGGTATGATCTGATCTTATTTTTGGCAGGGGAGGACACTGAAATGGAGAGGGGGGTGGTGGTGAAAATGACAACCAAGCATTTCTCAGTAGTTTTCTCTACTTTGCAGAAATTCCTGTGTGGGCTGTGCTTGCATGAAGTTGAATGTATGGTTGGTTTCTGTGTTATTTTAACTACAATACATATTCTTCACTCATTCTAATCTTTCACCTCTACAGTGGAGTTCTAGAAGAGCCCACATACCCTTTCTGGTGTGAAACTTTCAGGTATGGCTCAGCTACCCAGGACCAGGAGATTCTATTGGCTTTTACTAAGGCAGTATTAGCTCAGCTAACATTTCCTCTCCTGATGACCCAGTAATTTTCAGACACTTCACAGACTCAGAAGAGGTTTCATTTTCAGAGTGCAGACAACAAGCCTGAGTTCAGTGGCTCTTTCAACAGCTTCAGAGGTGCCCAGGGGAATAATCGATGCTGCCAGTTCAGTCTCTGTAGCTCACTGAAGCAGTCAAAATCCTTACTATTAACAAAAGGTTCAGTGTCCCAGACATATTTAGGGAAAATGTACACACTCTGTGTGAGAAAAGACATTAGTTTCCAGAGCTGCTTCCAAACTTCCTTAAGAAGACACTGCATCTGGGAAAGGTGCTGGCTTGAGAGCTCAGACACAAATACCAGCTATTCACAGAGTATGCACAATTCAGAGAGCAAGATTAATTTTTTTTTTCTCCTCTCCTTCCACTTTCTCATGCCAATGCCAAAGCAATCACTTCTCCTGCAGAGCAACATGTTCTTTGAAGGCCATAGAGCACTGGGCCTGTCAGTGGAGTGTAATCCTTGTTACTCAGCCTCCACAGGGAAGCCTATGGATAAACATTCACAAGCAAACGAGACTGGACGTGTCTCTGAGGTTTCTTCCTCCAAAACAGGGCAGTGAAAAGCCTTTTTATTTGAGAAAGGCCTAGGGAGGCTTGAAGCCAGCACTGTGAGCTGCATGTACCTTCTCAACAGGCACTGGAGACAAGTGACACAGAAGAACACTGAGGATGCAGTGGAGCACCCCCAGCACACCCACTGTGTTACTTAAAATAGGGCTTGAAACAGGAAAAAATCCCCTATTTCAACCATACAAAAGGAAAAAAAAATAAAAGCAAGTAGCAAAGTCCCTCTTGCTGAATAAATCTAAATAGGTGCCCATTTGTTTTAGGGCAAGCGAGATCTCCTCAGGTGGCTCAGCTTTAGTAAATCCATCAGATTCAGTACAACAGTTAAATTTTCATTACAGTATTACAAGGCAATCACATCTAGGAAAAACAGAGATTACAAGATCACACAGTATATTCTCCAGTGTCCTGTATTCTATGTATTTCCTGCTTTAAGAACCTACCTTCCTCATGAAAAAGGAAAAAAATTATGTTTTTAGTTCTGGTGTGTGTTAATATTAAATCAAAATATTTAAAAAGTGATAAAATTGAGCCATTGAAATCCTGATATTTTTATCCTACTTTGCTTAACAAACAAACAAACAAACAAACAAAAAAGGCATCATGGGAAAAACACATACCCAAAATAAAACCTACATCCTGGGACTGTTTTGGACTATCAGCATCCCACATATCTATATATTTATGATGATCAAAGAACTTGCAAATTTTGTACCTCAAGATATGTGTATTCTGTAACTGTAAAGAAAACACGTCCAGGTACCACTTAGTGAAAAGATGTACTTTTTTTTTTTTAATATATATAACAAAATTAATACTGTCAATCAAATAACACAAAAGCAAAGAAAGCAGACCTTGAGAAATCAACACTCCACTGTTGTCTAAGCTAATAAAATGTGTAACTTCACAGTATTAGAGGGAATCAACAAACTAACATAGTCAAGTGATCAAAACCCTTTACACTAATGGAATAAATTATTGCCACTCACTAAGTTAACCCTGGAAGAATTTAAGACAATGACAATATCCTTCAAATTTCACTTCCTTACTTAATATAAATGCCCTTTAAGTGTCCACCAGCTACTTTTCCCTTACACCTTACTGTCACTAAACATAATTACAGAGGGATCATATTCTGTCATTCTCTTCTCCGAAAGGACACAATGGGCTTTAAAGGAGGTATGATAGTTAAATCTCATAGCAGCAGCTTAAAATACAACCATTAACATGAGAGAATCTGACTCAGTGAGAAAATGTGGTTTAAGTTTAGGAAATGATTAAAGAATTCTGTTGGGAATCTCTCATGTGCACAGACAAGTGAAAAACAAGAGATAACAGTGTAACTCCCCCCTGCAAAGGCAAAACAACAAAAAAAAAATCCCAAGAGAGTAGGATAAATTGCTTACTGCTTGACTTCTTGGGATCCAGTTCTATGGACTCATCCACTGTGGAATTTACTGCCACACACATAAGTTCCAGTCAGGCTTATGCTGGCTCTCCCAGTCAAACAGATCTTCAAATTGTTCTGCTGGGTGACCCGCCCAAGGAAGCAGCTTAATGTAACTTCAGCTATCTCTATGGATAACAGGATTTTTCTTTTCCCTTCTCTGGTCTTTATTCCTGCTCATTCCAGCTGTGGATCCACTTCAGGATTTGATGATCATTTAGGTTTTTTAGGCCCAGGTGTAGCCATGTCAGAGCGATCAGGATGATTTTCAAGACAGGCAATAAGCTAAGATGTAGGTGCATATTTTCTATAAAGTTTGTGTCACCTTCCAGTTAAATCAGGGTCTGCTGTCACCAAAACCAGTTTTACTCTTACAAGCAAATCAGCCTTATTTCCAGGTATGCATTTTATGGAGATTTATCCTGTCCTTAGTGCTTACGTGTGGTTTCCTGGTAGGATCTGTTCCTTGTTTGAGGGAATTTTAGAAGACTAAATATAAGCCCACACACACTCTACTGGCTTTTACACTATATTAAAATAATTTAATTTTACACTTTTTTTTTTTTCTCATACCAAAGTAATCTTGGGTTAAAATAGGGTCTAGATTTATACCCCTCCCAAAGCTTCTAATACTAGTTTTCAGTAGTTACACAGGAAAAGGGCTGCATTCTGCATTTCTGCAGTGCCGAACATAGCAGTAGCCATTTCCTTTTTGTGATAAGAGATAATGAGATTTTCAAAGCCACAAAGTGACAAGACCAGGTGTTATCCACCCTCCTGTTTCTATTAAAAGTTCCATAAGCATCACATAAGCCTCATCAGAGCAGAACACAATAGTTTCTCCAATACAAAAGGAAATATGCATTGACCAAGAAGATGGAAATTTCTGTGGGAAGTTTGGACTTCTCTTTGCCTTCAAGGCTACATTCAGACTTTCTGTTGTGTTCACTGACCTCAGATAGAAAGGTAAATGAATGTTATTCCAATTTAAATCCCTCTTGCAGCAAGAGCGGATGCACCCAATAAGAAATTTGAAGTAAAATTTTGGTCCTAATTAGCTGAGGATAGTGCTCCTTGCCCCTCCAAACACCTGTTCAGCCTCACCTGAGGGTAAGGAAAATTTTCAGAATAGTGTCTTCATTGACAAAGTAAAATCAAAAAACAGTAATATAGAGGTTAATTCAGAAATTAAAATCATTTCCTGGATGGATTACAGACTTGGGAGGGTGGGATGAGATGGGACAGGCAGCAGGAAGAGGAATGGAAGGTGGGAAGAGAAAGAGATTCACGCTTGATGCTGCTGCTGCCTTAGGGCTGGATACTTCCTGTCTCACTGGGCTGTACTTTTTTGAGGAAGAGTGTATGCTTTCCCTGGTGATTGTATAAGCATCTTTTCATCCTACTCCTTGAGAAAAATAGTGAAGTACACATAGTAGTTATTATTTATACATTTCAAAAGCTTAAAAGAAAAGGAACACGGTCTACTGTCAAATTCAGAAATCTATCTCCAGAGGGCAAGAAATGCACATGAAACCAAGATGTAAGTAACTCACTCTGTTCTTTCATAGGTCAAGAATAAAAAACAGTTTTATAAGGGTACATGCCCTAGTAAAAAAGAAAGCTCCATGTGCTGGATGGAAAAAGCCAGACTTGTGGATTTATGATATTATTTTTTATGTCTCAGCATCTTGCATGTCCCAAGAGTACTGAAGGATAGAGCAATTGAACGGCAGAACTGAAACACATCCAGAAAATGCCCAACAGGATGAGCTGGAATGAAAAGTCTTTCCACATGTTACCAGTGCCAGAGGGAAGGCAAGAATTCCAAAGGCATTGCCATTTGAAAAGCATTAATCAAACCAACATCAGCTGCAGTTATCCAAACAGTCCTGCAGAGAGCCTGATTGCTGTGCATGCATGTGCATATACACATGTGGCTACAGCCAAATACTATTAACAAGCACATAGCTCCACCAAAAAGGCTTCTTATTTCACATAATTCCTCATTTTTAAGACCTTTGAATTCTTGCTTCAACACCAATTTCAGCCTGATGTGGCAGCAAAAGAAGCTGCACAGAACACCTCATAGCTACCTCAGTAAAAAATTCTGCACCTAAAAGCCCAAATTCATGATCAGTACGGAATATTTGTTGAGTAGTTAAAGAAGAAAGCATTGTTTATAGTTTGTGTTCTCCAGTAAAAAGGTCGTTAGGGAAGACAATTCAATATTCAAAGCACAAAGAGCAAAGCCTGAGGCAAGAGGACTGCCATTATAATTCCTTACTGACAGGTCCAGGGGACAGAATACCTTTCTTTGCTGCAAACACGGGGACAGCAAATTATTTCTTTTCCTCCCCCATTTTTTCAGGAAGACCTAAGCCCAAAATGCAAGAAGGAGGGTTATTCTGCCTTTCCTCTGGAAGCCTTCAAACCAGCAGGATTGCCAAGTCATTCCTGTTTGCTTCCCTGCAATTTTTTTTCTCTCTCTCTACCATGTCAGGAGCATGTGGTCACCAGAAGAGAAAGAATTAATTACCACTTGGCTTTGTGCAGGATGACTGATGAATATTCATTTGGTAGCTCAAATGGACTTTGCCTCATGATTAAGGAGGATTTCAGTGAACCAAGTATTCCTATTACCAAATCACATGGTGCTTTATACAACACTTGCCAAGCCAGAGTGGAAAAACCATCACTTGCAAAAGAAGGGGCAAAGGGAAAGGGCTGTATACTGATCTTGAACAGCTTAAATACAAGAACAAAGAAAACATGCTTTCACACTACTTCACTGAAGGAGACATTAAAACAATCCAAGGCTCTGATTCCCAGTCCCTGTCAGCCTTGGCTATGGAAGGAAAGGTTTATCTGAAGAGGCTGCTGCCCCCTTGGACGGGGCCAGAAACGGGCGCTGCAAGAGCAGCGAGGTTGTGGTCAGCAAGTGCACAGTAAGCAATACAGGCAAACAAGAACTACTTAGAAACCCTCCTTACATCAACTTTGAAGCGATGTGCGTGCTCCCAGGCAAGAAAGTTAGTTGCCATCATAAAGAAGGAACGTTTTCACACCAAAATAGCCACATAAACCTTTTGTCAGTAGAACAATGCTGGCAGCGTCACAGATTATTTGAGCGCTCCACTTGCAGAACCAAATATATGAACTATATTCACTCAGTTTTAGGGTTGGACTCCTTGTACAATTGTGTTAATAACAAAAGGCACCGTTTAGTCGACTGAACTTTGTATCTTTAAACTTGTTTTAAAAATATTAAAGATCCATTTCACCAGTCTGTCATTAACAGCTGTTTTCTACTCCTCTCACCCAGTGGAATGGCCATGAAATCAGTTTCTTTAGCATTTCTCAACACCACCTTGGCGAGTAACAATTTTTTTAAAAACTACTATTTAAAACAAGCAAAAGAAGTGATCCATAGGCTAGCTACATTTTTTCCCCTCTTTTAAGAAGAAGAAAAAAAAAAACCAAACCAAAATAACAAACCTGAGACTTGAAGCTGTATAAACTTTTCAGATGTGAATAAGCAAGTTTCATGAGTGCCATAATCCTGGCACCACTGGGCACACATTCTTCTCATGTCTGTGTTCAGAACAGGGCCAGGAGCTGACCTGAGCCACAGACTTCCTGGTAAAGAGTAACAATTTGGTAAATAGGACTTCCAGAAACTATGCCCTGGAACACGACCAGCCGTGCCAGGTGTGGCTCAGTGGCTTGCTCTGGGAAAAGGAGGCTAGGACCCGTGAATTTACTGAATTTTAGCCAGTACCAAAGTTAAAAACACAGGTGCTTCCCTCCATTCACCCAGCATGCTGAGGAAACCATGTGAACATTTACAGCTACTAGAAAATGCTTGTTTCTGACCATTTTTTTTTTAACACAGGTGAGTTTCACAGAAATTTTTCTAACTAACTAAAAATCGGGAAAGCTTTGGAAAAAGAATTTCAGAAAATATTTCATAAATGTTAACCCACTGAAGAATGCAATGACAAAAGGAACAAAGGTCCATATATTACTACAACCAGCCTATAGATGAAAAGGGATACACTTTAGAGAAACCAGGACCCCTGAAGTCTACTCCCTGTGCTGACAGAAATTAGTCACCATGACCAACTCCTGCAATATAAGAATACTGGGAATTGAGAGGTTTTTTCAGGTTTTATTACTTTTTACAATTACAATTGTTAAAGAGTAAAATATCTTCTCTTTTTTATTTCTGTTTTTTTTTTTCTAAGTTAGGTGACTCATTTTTGCAGCTGTATGATTATGCTTGAGAACACTCCTCCAAAAGGCTCAAGGAACAGAAGAGGAAATATTGCAAGCTGCCTTTACTCTGATAGATTCTCAAATAATTTTCATTCTACTGGTGGAAGGATAGGAAAATTTTTCAGCTTTTGGCCTCCAGGTCTTGTTAGCATTGGATGCATTAGTACACCTTCCATACAACTTACATCTCAGCCCCAGAGGTGCAAAAATCAGCCCTAAGACGTGCAGGGTCTTGGAGATACATCCTCCTTGCACGGAGCGTCCCCTTCAGCCTCCTGTCATAGCCCTAGGACAAGCCTCCAGCCTCGCTTCAAAGAACTTTCCCCTCAAAATTTGTGTTTACTAACATGCCCTAATTCACCATACCACAAGTTTAAGTAGTCTGTTGACCGCTAGACCTGTCTCCCTCAGCTTTCTTTTCAAAGCCTTTTTAAACTGCTGCACAGCCTCCGCCTCCTTCCCATTTGGAATATGACCATACTTTCCCTTCTAGAAGCACAAAATGTTTGTATGTTTCACTAGCATTTTACATTTGTGTCGCATCTTATTCTTGAAAAATCTTGCCGGGGCCCGGGATCACCTCAAGTGACTATTGCAGTGGCACTACAATGAAAAAAATATATCTTGATTCAAATGCTGTGTTATTTCCCTGATTGCTGACCAGAGATCCTTGTATTGAGTTCCCATCTGCACTGTGCTTGGCTGCAAAATCATCAAGCACTGTGATGTCCCTCCTTATCCAGTCTTTATCTCACTTGTCTGAAAGATTACAAGCTGAGGACAGGGCAAGGTCTGACTTCATGACGTCCCTGCCCACGGCAGAGGGGTTGGAACTAAATGATCTTTGAAGTCTCTTCCAACCCAAACCACTCTGTGATTCTATTTTATGATTCTGTGGTGCTTACAACATGGTGGCTCACTTAGGGGTTTTTTGTGTGTTATACAAAGAGGAACAACTCCGAGTCACAACGGGCTTGCAAATCCACTTAGAGTAAGTGGATTACAGTAAAGCTTTTGTAACATCAATGACTGTTCTGTAGCAACACATTTAGGTTATTCTTATTTCTATTACCTCTCCTTTGAATTACACAGTTGGAGCAGACAGCCAAGAAAGACACAGGTGTTATTTCTAATAATCCAATTCCACAGCAAGTTAATGAGAGAAATAAGTAGTTTAAAAGCTTTTTTAAATGGAATTAAATTTTTTAAGAAGAACTTCTCATGGGTCAATTCATTAATTGTCTTGGTGGTCTGGGATCTCAGATTTGGAGGCTTACCCTTGCATTAGAAACACCGTCAGGTCAGTCCATGTCTATAAGCAAATCCTGCATGTGCTTATGGATAGTGGATAAGATATGACCTTGTGACAGACTTGTGACCTTGTGACCCCAAAAAACAGCCACTCACCCTTTTACTCCTTTCCTGCAGGATGGGGAAAAACCATGAAGTCTGCCCTGAAGAAAGTTAAGTCCATCCCAGCCAGACCCAGTACAATCTCAACCCCTTATTCCACGCCATTCACATCATGTGTGACCTCAGCATGATCTGATATATCAAAGTATCCTCTGTCCCATTTGTACATTATTGAATTTCTACACCCTACTCAAACCTTCTCATTTTACCTCTTTCCTGATATTCCTTCTTACCAACACATACAACTTACACTACATACTTAAAATATCTTTATAACCAAGTCAGGTTTATGCATCCTCTATGAACACTATACATTGTCCCTTGACATATGCATATATATCAGATATTATTCCCCCATTCCAGGCTCCCCCTCCCCCAAAGTTCCATAAGAACAGTTGGTGACTTTGGTCCTATCTGTCAAGGAGATCACTCAGTACAGGAGAATCAGCAATTTGGATTGCTGAGCACCAAGACCACTCGGGGTGGATCAGCGTTGCATTCTCATGTTCCTGGTGGGGTTCATGATTCCTGCTGTATTACTTCCTGTACCATACAAGTCAAAAAATGGATTATCTTGCCCCAGGGGTAAACCTCCTTGAGGTACACAGCAGATTTCCTCTTTCTCCTGCACTACTCAGCGAGGGCACCTGGGTCCCTGAGCAAAAGCAGTCCCACAAATGCACTTTCCTTTTCCCCAGGGTAGAGCAACCCACACTGCCTTTCCCAGTCACTTCCCTGTACTGTGGGGACCTCACCTCCACCCACGGTGTGTAGAGGCCTGGTTTGGGCAGAACCAGGGCAGTCAGTGAAACTTCTGGTACCAAAAACCTAAGTTTCACTGCATCCATTCCCCAGTGTCCTATGCTCTGAGCCTATAACAGCCATACAACAGTATCACACAATCTTTCCTAAGGCTTGGGGGTGAGAGGATATGTGAAACACCAAATCAGTGCCGTGTTTCTTGGCCCAGGAGCACAGGCTCAATACCACAATGCAGGACTTGACTTTCAAGGCTCAGGATGGCATTAGAAGCAATGGAATGGTTTACAGGGTATGTCTCCAGCCACCCAATAGATGCTTCCACTACGGTAAACACATAGCACTTGCCTTGGCAGGTTCAGAGTGTGGTCTAGAACAGTCAGTCTGCCAGGCCTCACCATACTGATATCCCAGACAGCTCCCTCCCTCTGCTCCAAGGAGACTTTACTCACATGGGTCACTTGGTTGCAGTGTAAGGGGCCCACCCCTCAATCACAGGACCATTTTTTCATTGTAACTCTCCCAGTTATGGCCCTTATCTTGAATTCTTCATGCATTTTTGTCCTGTTTTCTCCCCATGTCCTGTAGAGGAGGGGGGTGTAAGTGGCTCAGTGGGCATCTGGCTGCTGGCCAAGGTTAACCCACCACAGTCCTTTTTCTGGTACCCAACGTGAGGTATGCAGATTTCATCCAGTAACGCCCTAATCTGCAGTCAGATGCTGCTGGCCTAGGTCAATCCAGCACAACCCAAACCTTTAAGACATTTCTCATAGCTGGAGAAGGCTTTTGCCCAGAGCAAAGGTCAGGCTTGCCTCAGGTGACCTCTTGACTGAGTTTTTGACTGTAATATCAGCAGAACAAAATGCAAAGCTGCTGAGAAATGCATGTGACTAGCACTTCTGCCCAACAAGGACAAGACAGCCTATCAAGGTGTTGAACACATTCAGTGAAACTTGGTTAAATGAATAATCTTTTAAATCAACCTTTGCCCAATCAAAGTCCAGCCTTACTTATAGGTACAGCCACAGGAGAAACACTAAAAGAGAACCCCTGGGAAGGCTACTCTACATAGATATACAGGTAAGAAATTTCTTTTTACCTAAATCCCTCTTCCCTTAGAAAACTCCTTCTTACAATCCAAATAACTTTGCATGTAAAGCCTTCATGGATTAAAGGGAGTAGTATGCAGTGCACCATAACTTTCCCTCCCTTTCTAAATAAGGAGAAATAATCTTTCCCATAAAAGCCAAGCTGTTTCTTCAGCTTTGTGTAGCACTGGGTTTGCATGTTAATTTCAGGAATTAGTACAAATTCTCAGTATTTGTCAAGAAAAACTGCTTTGAATTGTACTTGCAATCAATACAATCTGATGTGTCCCAAATAATGTCCAAATAATAGGGCAGTTCATCCCTTTATGGAGTTTCTATCACAGAACCATTTGACTGCCAGCACATCTAAAAAACTGACTTCTGTCAGTAAAGAGAGGCAGAAAAAAAGTCTTTCCAGTAGAATACAAACCAACTTTGCTTATTACCTGGACTTTCCAACTGGAAGAAGTTGTCTTCATTTGTCTCATTCTCCTGTCCTCATGGATCTTTGGCAGGAGTTCCTAAGACAACTCCTTTTGGAGGTGTCCCTGGTCACACCTGTTGTTTACCTTTAGCACGAGGTATTCCTGCATGACAGGTTTCACCCACAACAGAGTTTCACTACAACATAAAACCATGCAAGATTTTAGGTGGGAAGGGACTTTTGCAGGTTGTCTGGTCTGAAGCCACATAGAAAACAGGGGCACCTTAGATCAGGCTGCTCAGGGTCCAATCCAGGCATCTCCAAGGACAAAGATTTCACAGCCTCCCTCTGCGGGCACCTGTTCTAGTAGTCCTGACAGGCCCCAGGAGGAAAGGCTGCCCTTATGGCTGTCTAATTGGAATTTCTCTTGCTGCAGCCTGTGTCTGCTGCTTCTCATCCCACCACTGTTAACTTCCCAGAAGAGTTTGGCTGTGTTCTCTACTCAATCCAGTTGGGTGGTTGGAGGAGGTCAATAAGATCTTCCCTTTACTTTCTCTTCCCAAGACTGAACAAGCTCGGCTGTCTCAGTCTCCTTAAACATTTTGTGCTCCAAAACCTAATTCCCCCTCAGGACTAATTCCAGTATGTCAGTTACTTGGGAGACCAAAACTAGAGACAGTACCCACACGTGGCCTCCCAGGTGCCAAAGAGAGGGGAACAGTCCCTTCCACTGACCTGCTGGTTACATTCTGACACCACTCAGTGCAAAGATGATCTTCAAAGGTTCACCACTGACTCATGTCCAACTCAGGCACTTGGGTGCTGTCCAGCAGTGCTGCCTTCTGGCCAGCCAGCTGCTTGTGGGCAGCCAGCTGTGCATGGTCTAGATACAGATTTATTTTATTATTTTTTGCCTGTCACAGAGCCACTCCATTCCTCATGTAAAGTTATGAGGGTCATCAGGTATCACAAAAATCAGTACATCCACCCTCTGATGCAAACCCTGCACTCATCAGCAGTAGCACTCCACTTACAAGGCCTTTTCTTGAAATTTGATTTTGTTTAGCTGGCATAACTAAGAACAGGAAAGCCTGGTTAAGACAAGGAGGCCCTTCCTTGATCCCACCTGCTCATCCATCTGCAGGGGTTGCCTGGAGAAGCTGTAGAGTGGAGTCTCAATCCTTGCAGACTTACAAAAGAGAGCTGGGCCTGTTCAGCCTGGAGAAGCGATGGCTCAGGGGAAATTACTAATGCATAAAAATACCTGAAGAAGGGTGCAAAGATTATGGAGCTGGGATTTTTTCAGTGGTACCCAGGACAAGAGGCAATGGGCACAAATTGCAACATAGGAATGAATGTAAGGACACTACTTGAACTATGAGAGTGACTGAGCACTGGCATAGGTTGCCCAAAGAGGTAGCGGAGCCTCCCTCCTTGGGAGATATTCAAAGTTGTCTGGACTTTGACCTGGGAACTGGCTTTAGGTGGCCCTGCTTGACCTGGGAGGTCAGACCACGCATCCTCCAGGACTCCCTTCCAAACCCTGACCAGTCTGAAAGTCTGTGAAATTCTGTTTTGCCACATAAATTTCCTACAGTGGTCTGGTATTTGGAACACTTAATTCAGGTACTAAATCCTCACCTCAATTTTTACTATGTTTTCACAGGCAGACTTCATGTTTTTCAATTCTGCATCTTGTTTAACTTCATTTGATATAGGGAGACAAGAAAAGAAGAGGGAGAGGGGAAAAGGGAGGTTTCTTCTCCCTAGCCTTGTTAACTAACTTTAACTTTGCACATCTGGATTTCTTGGGAAACAAAACCCCAAGAATTCTGAAGCAAAGTCTCTCAAAACACATTTAGAAGGAATATATATGCAAGCTTACTGTTTTTACTTACACATATCTTTTCCGCCACGCCTGGCAGAGATGACTTCTGTCCACCAGCCCCGAGAATGCAAAGTGACCAAAAAGCCCCAAAAGACCTACGGATTCTACTTGCGCATCGAGAAAGACACGGCAGGGCACATCATCCGCAACGTGGAGCAGAACAGCCCAGCCGAAAAGGCTGGCTTGAAGGATGGAGACAGAGTCCTCAGGGTTAATGGTGTGTTTGTAGACAAGGAGGAACACGCACAGGTACACCCCTGGGATCCACACTACCCCACACTACCCCCATTACCCAGGCCCACAGCCACTTACATGAAGCTTTCTCTTCCAGTTTTTATGCCTCCTTTGGGTAGGAAATCCAAGAGCTGGGTGAACTGCTCTGAGGATCCCCCTGCATCGTTCATAACTCACCACGGCCATGAAATGTCTCTGGAGTTCACCACAGTGCAAAAGCAGGGGGATAAGACAATAAAAACAATAGACAGTGCAGTCCTTCCTGGGGAGAGTTTTTAGCTCAACCACTCTAGTGCCTGCTTGCCATTTCCCTTTGTCCACTACAGGTGGTGGAGTTAATCAAAAACAGTGGGAATTCCATTGTACTTCTTGTTCTGGATGACACATCCTATCACAAGGCACAAAAGGAGGGAGTGAACCTGGAAGAGCTGGCTCAAAAGGCATCAACAGGACAGCAGGAGGAGCAGTCCCCACCATCCATGGCCACTGCAGTTCCACAACCCCGGCTCTGCTACCTCGTGAAGGAGGAGAAAGACTATGGCTTCTCCCTGAAAACCACAGAAGGTGAGAGCCTTAGGAGAATAGATGGGAGAGAGAGAGAGAGATTTGGCAGCAGGGACAGAGGTAAACACAGTTAACACAGGAGGGCTAATAGGGACACACAGACTGTTCTTACTACCAGAAAGAATGCAAGGAAGAGCAGGATGAGTTCAGATCCATCTCTGTACAGTATATGCAGTGAAAGGTTTTGGCAAAAGGTTTTCTGAGGACCATGTTTCTTATGAGGTGGAGAAAAGATGAAAAAAAAGAGAGAGAGAAATAATAATTTATTTTCTGCTTGTTATTTAAGCCCACTTAAGGAAACCAAGTTTGCAGTCCCTGTTCAAATAGAAGATACATATTCAACATGCTATGTTAAACCCTGTTCCATTCCTTCAAATCACCTCAGGAATCAGCACACAAGGTTCTAGGCAGCTGCAAGAAACACTTTTCCTGATTTGGAAGTTATTTCATTAAGAAAAAAAGGATTTTGAACCTCTTCCACATAAGCCTTTCTTCCAAGGCCAGTCAACAGAATAGCGAAGCCCTCTGAAAAGCATCACTTTAAAGAGCACATTTTGGAATGCTATCTATCTGAAAGACCTAAAAGCAGTTCCTCTCTCCAAAATTATGAAGGACTTTGGTGGGGGTAGGAATCAAATCCCTTTCAGGTATCAGCCCACCTGCAGTCTTGGTAGGAAAACAAACAACTGTTTGAGCTGCAGATAGTGAACAAATGTCTCCCTCCCTCCCTCCCATGGAAGTGATTTTTCCAAGACAGAATAAGGGACAGAGGTGTGTCTGTGTGGAAGGTTTGTGGTGCCACTGTGATCTGTGTGTAAGCAGAGACCAGGAGTCTCTGAAGACATCAGTGCTGAGTTTCCTTAACCATTAAATTCAGGCATATTGCAGTGACTTACCCTGTGTAATGAGTTTTCATCTATTTTAGGACAGAAGGGGTTGTTCATAGTAGAGCTTTCACCACAAGGAGCAGCTGCAAAGGCTGGTGTCCAAAATAACGATCGCCTGATTGAAATCAATGGGGAAAACGTGGAAAATTACACACACGAGGAAGTGGTGGAAAAGGTATTGATTCATCTTCTGTTCTGGCCTACTTTCACAGCAACCTATCAGGGTTACTGAGGAGGCAGGTCTGGCCCATTTGAACGCTTCACAGTAAATCTGGGGAGCTGCTGTTCCTGTACCATCAATGCAGCAGCGCAGCTCTGGCTTTGGCTCTGTTATCAAGCAGCCTCTCAAACTGCCTCTCAGTGAATACTGCCATCAAGACAGGCCAAAGAATTTCAAATAACAGAACCACTCTGCTGCCAGGAACCCTATTAAATAAATCATGCTCTGTTCCTAGAAGTCCTGGAAATGCTCCTAAAGGCAAGAGGGCAATGTGTTTTTCAGGGCAGGAAGAGAGAAACTCTCTGATGATACAGTCAGCATGGAACAGGGAAAAAGTCATAATTTTAGACAGTAGTTCCTTTCTCCTGTCAAGAAGTCCAAAACTAATGAAAATTACTGTGCAATAGCTTTCACTAACCGGCCTCAGCTGCACAGAATGTTGCTAATGAAGCTTCCAGCTTTCCACTACTGGCACTGCCAAAACACAGCTGGAGCTGAAGAGATTTCAGAGAGCCAAGAGACAGGCAGTACATATTCTGGCATTCCAGCATCATTCAGTGCATGCAACTCATTATGGAACTGTGCAACACCCAAGTTTTGTTGAGCTACTGCAACATCAGCAGCAGACTGACTTTGGTTCAGATGAGTAAAAAGGGCAACCATTAGAGTAGAAAGGATTAGGAGAAGGATGGACTTGGAGTGGTTGAACAGACAAAAAAAATTTAAATTTTATATATATATATGTGTAAAAAAAAATTCCAAACCTCAGAATCAGCAAAGGAGACAGAAGAGGACCAAAAGTGACAGAAACTTGACTCTTGTCACTGTAATCTAAAATAGTGGTATAGATGTTATGATAAGTGTATATTGCAGAGTTTCACATCTGGATAAGTCAAGTACTATCTCCTGAGGCTCACTGGGTGAGCCTTCTATGAGTCCCTATAGGTCACGAACACAGTATGAAATAAGTAAATTTCCTCATATATTACATGCCCAGGATCTTGTCATGGCCCAAATTTCTGACTGAAGGGAGGGGGGGGGGAAGCAATTTACAGTAGCATGGCCTACACCTTACAGCTCATTCATCAGCAGCACCCACACACACTATGTGTCAGAGCACCAAAGTATCTACAATTCCCACATGCTGTTGAAGGGGTGATGTCTGAGACTGTACATGTACCATCACAGGTAAAGAAGTCTGAAAATCATGTTATGTTTCTACTTTCAAATGAAGAAACAGACCGTTATTTCACAAGCCAGAAGAAGGTACTGAGCAAGGAGAGCGCCAGCCTAGGATTGCTTCCCCTCAGACCACGGCTCATTGAGATCCAGAAAGGGAACAGCGGTTACGGATTTTATCTACGGATGGAACAAAATACTGGTGGTAAGAACCAAGTTAACCCACAGACCGTGACGTTTGATATACAGCTCCTTCCTGTACAGGGTTTGCGGGCTTCGTTTTCTTTGGCTTCCAACCGGTTGCCCAGCAGAGATCCTCTACAGACACGTTGCACGGAGCTACACCAGGGAATTGGTCTCAACCTGAAGTGCCCTTCTGACAGTTTGCCTTTGCCATTCATTTTAATGCCTTTAAACTCACCAAGCTACGCCTTCACATCAATCTTTCTTCCCTTGTGCTCTCAGATCACATAATCAAGGATGTAAATTCCGGGAGCCCGGCGGCCACGGCGGGTCTCAAGGACAATGACATCTTAGTGGCCGTCAACGGAGAGCAAGTGGATGGTCTGGACCATGAAAGCGTAGTGGGAAAAATCAAGCAGTCTGAGGCCAAAACCACACTGCTGGTCGTGGATAAGGACACTGATGCCATGTATAAACTGGTAAGAAAAAGCAAACTCCTGCTAGGAATTGTTAATTTATCATCATGAAGAGACATATGCAGCAATGAAACAGCCAACCTGCTCTGACAGACACTTCTTCAACTTGCAGGAAATCTCTAAGATACACCATATTTCAGCAACTCTCGTTGCATTATACAGAAAGTCTAAATATCCAAATTTTTGGCCTCCTCGATTTGTATAGACACTATTGGGACAATTCTAAACTCAAACACACCACAAGAAAGGGTAGGTTGCTGCTAAGACAGCAAATTCAGAGTTATATGGCTATATATTTATGAATGAGTAACAAAATTCCCTTCCCACATAGACCATCAACACTGTAGCTTCCCATTCTGCCAGAAATTAATAAAGGAGAGTCCTTCAGCACAGCTCAAGTCTGAGTCATTAACAAAGTTTCAAACACAGCATGTAGAGCATGAGAGCCTGAAACAGATTTCACAACAAAAGTTTTTATGTTTAATTTGTCTCTTTTTTCAGGCTCAAATTTCCCCCTTCTCATACTACTACAAAGCACAGGATTCAACTCCAGCTAAAGTGGAAGAAAGAGTGGAGTTGCACACTGAGCAGAAAGTGAACCACAAGCCAAGAATCTGCAAGATGGTGAAAGGGCCTGGTGGATTTGGTTTCAGTTTAAACATGATCAAGAACAAGCCTGGACTGTTCATCAGTGAGGTACTAATGAAGAAGCTTGAGTAGCCTGTCAGACAGCTTCCTCCCTTCCATTCTGCAAATAAATACAAGAAAAGCCACAAGTGTCTCTTCTCCAGAGCTATACTCTTTAAGTCACAGTGACATTGTTGGTCTAAGATGAAAAATTCAAGTACCAGAAGATTCCTCATTCTAGACATCCAGAGGGAAGGGGAATACAGCTTTTGCATAATTTTTGCTTTTATTCATGAGGCAAGCACACTAAAATTAGTATTTCTGACTGCAGAACATCTTAATTATAGGAGAGACACCTTCCCCCCCCCTGCCCCCCCACCCCTAAATTCCACAGCTGGTGAAAGTCAAAATTCTGCAGCTTCAAATTACATGTATGACTTCAGCTTTCTTGAGGGGTTCCACTCATTACTACATTTCACAGATTCCTTAGTAAACTTCAAAGTTATTGGACAGAGACCTGCAAATAGTAGGAAAACTGTTTTTCTACTTGTCTTCATGGTTCTACCACGCCACATTTCTACAATTTAAGTCCACCAAAATCAAGATGCATCCTATATCTCAAACCAAGGACTCCATGTTTATTATGTCTAGGCCCACTGCCCCTCCCAATTCATTCCTGCCCCACGGATCTCCCCTTCCCCATGCTTATTTTACCACCCTGTAAGGAAAACAGTAACACAGCAGTGTAGTTGTTAATGCATCAGTTGTTAATGCATCTTTCCAAGTTTTATGCTTTGAACTTGCCTCTGCAGGTACGGAACGACGGGCCAGCTGACAGGGCAGGTGTACAAAACGACGACTTCTTGGTGGAAGTGAATGGAGTAAACGTGATCGGTGAATCCTACGACAAAGTGGTGGTAAGAATCCAAAACGGTGGTGACAGACTAACACTGCTGGTGTGCAGCAAAGATGCTTACAGGTACTTCCAAGGCCAGAACATTCCCATCACAGCCTCGATGGCAGATCCAGCCCATGACACTCCTGAACCTCCTGCTTACACAGAAAACCACCTGCCAGAGCCAGAGAGAAACTCACCCGAACCAAGGGAAAGGGTGAGTGATACTGCATTAAGCAGATGCTGAGAGATCACATAGGGGATAGGAAAACAACTCTTTTCAGGTAGTGTATTTTCTTGAGCTAGGAATTTTAACTTGAGCCTGGACTTTTGCAAGTTGTTAAAGGAGAAACTGCTAATTATCATAAACAACTCTTCCTTTCCCCACACATAATACAGTATTCTTTAATGGAAGACTAAATTACACCAAAAAAATGCACATACAATTGTATGGAACAAGATAATCCAAAAACAGTAATCCTTAATGAGGATGGGAAACAGGCAATACAATTGTGGAAGTGCAGGAAGAAGTGCTTAAATACACCAAAAACATAAACAACTTTTGTGAAAATCAGGTGAAATATTTAAAAATGGATCATTTTGGAGAAATAACAGCAACTGATAGGTTATGATGACATTTTCTAGGGAACGTGCTGATCTGCAATTGTTTTACTCATTTCATGCCATTAGAAAGAATCTGAAGCATGACAGAAGTCAGAAAAGGAGGAAGGTGTTTCTTCTCCAAACAGCGACTTTTAACTCTCTCTGTGGTCAGTCTTAAATATTTAAATGCTTGTTTTCTGATCATGCAGCAGGGACAACCAAGGAAGAATAAGAGTAGTACTGTTATCCATTCATTTTTCATTAGCCCTGTTTGCATATGTCCAGCTGTATGTTCTTCCAAGAATTTCTTAGTTCCCAAGCTGCATTTTGCAGATCTGAAGTTAGCGCCACTTTTGTGTTCAAATTCAGCAGACACAGGAATTCAACAACAGGAATCCTCCAAATTTCTCTCTAAATGTACTTAACCAAAAAAAGCCCTTCAACAACAAAAATTATATTTGTTGGTTCATTCTGCCATCTAAACAAGTATGTGACTAGTGCAAATGAAAACAGAGTAGTCCTTCATAGCACTGCAGACTATGAACCATGTTTACAAACTGAAAATAATCAGAACACATTTGTTACTCCTCTGCAGGCAGACTCATCCTCCTCTTCACAATCAGATGCCTCCACAAGAGCTGCCAGTTACAACAATGATGACACAAAGTTGTGAGGAGACAACAACAAAAAAGAAACCACCTAAATCTTTCTTCAGTAATTTTTTGCTACTACACCTCCCAGAACTTGCTTATTCCAAGGAGTGCCGTGCCTGCAAAGGACTGCAATCTCTTTCTGAAATAAACACTTCAGTGTAACTTGCATCCCTTTAACACCCTGCAATTGTACCTCATTGGCTTTCTGTCCTGTAAAGTGGGCAGTTACTCACTTACTGATGAAAAGGCTTAAATAACTACAAGGATATAATTAAGGACTGCAGTAGAAGACATAAACATTTTATAGATTTGTAAGTATCTCAGCCTTTTAAAGGTAAGCTCTTAATATAGAGCAACTGATTTCTCCCCAACTCCCAGGGGAGGCAGCTCTCCCCCTAATCCAAGTCCATCAGCTCCATCCCAGTGTCAACTCTGCTGTACTCCCAGTAATACAACTGCTGTGAAGTGGAACAAGCTGATGTACTCCAGGCATTTTGGTGCTTCTTCCTGCTAACATTGCAGAAATCCCTTTCAAACACTAAGCTCACTTTGTGATTCGTAACTCGAGATAGTTAAGCACCCTTCTCTCTCCTCTGCTGTGGATCATGGTGGTTAGAATAGCATAACATAATTCAGTCATGCAGGTTTGTCTAACCCCAAGTCAAAGCCACTTTGACCTTGATGTGACACAAATGGCTCTGTAATACTGCTGCTGTTATACTCTGCCTCCTTGCTGTACACCAAAGACAATACAGAAATAAACTGGTTAGAGTGGTTATTTTTTCCCCTCTCCAGATCTTACTCTTAACCCCCTATGATTTATGTCCCAGAACAATTACAAAACAAACAAAGCCCGGGAGAGTGGCTGTGGGAACCTACACATTTAAGTCACATGAATCAAATCTGTAGCATACAACATAATTAAGACATGGCTGTGGTCTTTGACTTCACACTGAACTGCAGCAAAGAGGAATCCAGAGCCTCGGTTACATTTATGCAGAGAGAGGAAAGAAAGTTGAGACTCAGCAAGAGAAAGCTGACCTCCAGCTCCTAAGGACTCCAGCAGGTACTAACAGTACACACTAGCACACACTCCAGACAGAAATGGAGTGAAATTCTCCCCACTTCTGCCAGGCAGTAAATGCTAACCACTTTCTAGCTGACATCCAGCCAAATCTTTGAGACTGACAAAAAACAACAGTGATGCTTGCGTGAGATATTACAAAAGCTTATTTAATTCCACAGACTCAAACATTCAGTTCCAGGATTTCCATCCTCTGAATCCCAATCATGAACTGATTTTCAAAATCACATTTCCTTGGTGCCTTCTACGAAGATGTTGTTCCAACATTAAGAGGTGTTCCCTCAGACAACCTATCATGTAAGTTCTGATGTCCCTGGGCAGTGGTGCACCAAGGAGCACCCTTATTGTTTTGCAATGAACTGTCTCCTGTTCAATACGTGCACCCTCTTCCCTTCCAGCTCTAGCACCTTAACAAAACGAGCCACAGAGCTTGATGGTGACATGTGGGAAAGTTCAAAGAGCCAGTTATGCTGCTGAACACACAAAAGAGTCCTGGCTCTCTTCACGTTGTGCAGTCCACAGGAGTTGCAGCAGTGCAGTCGAAAGGACGGAGGGCAGTGCATGACTGCAGTTGTGACTCAGAGGGCCATGTGCTTTTCTGGGGCTTGTTTGTGTGCTAAATAGAGAAAGAGGATACTGGACAGGGCACTAACTAGGAATATGACATCAAACCAACGATGGTAGAAGTTGAACTGGAGCTCTCCCAGGACTTCTGTGATGATAATGCGATACTCCGGGGGCATGCTCATCCGGATCAGGAGCACCGATGACACAAAGTACATACCCTGCAAATTAACACAGCCAATTCACACGGGGAAAGCAGTTACTGCTTCACAACAGGCCATGTGGCTAACAGGGGTCAGCACACAAAGACCTTAGGATATGTATATGCACACGTGTATAAATGCATAAATGCACACGGGTCTGCCCAGGGCTCTGCATACTCACCATTATCTGTGCTAAAAGCAGGACAATAACATTGGAGGACTTGCTGCTGGAAATGGCATAGAAGAACTAGGAAAAAAAAAAATCACAACACTGGAAATAAGCAGTCAGATAAATCTGATGTGCCTTAGGACAGCATGAAAGGCAATACCATTCAATGTGTTTACACTAGAAAAAAACCCAAACAATTAAACACATAACATTCTAGAGGGCTACCTGTATCCTACTTTCATAAACCTGCAATGTTAAGTCTCAAACATGAATCTACCAAAGCCAGTTGTGTCATGTGGTAAAACAATACCACAAATAGAGAAGTTTAAGCTTAGGTACCCAAGGCCAGGTCAAGACATTGAGTCACATGTTTCTTGAGTTAATGCCCTTCCAGTCCTACCAGCAGCTCAAATTAAGAAATCCAAATTATTTTAATCACCATCTCATCAAACTTACTGATAAGCCTTGGTTACAGCAGCATTTTGAACCCTTGTTTATATTTAACATCTTATTTAACATCTGCATCTTTTCCTGACAGCCATAACTGAGACTGAGTGGGGAAATTTACTGCAAAAGGTATTTTTCCTACCTTCCTCCTTCTGCAAGTACTTATATTCAGATATTTAAATATAAATGTATATTCAAAGTCTAAACAGTATTTGCCCATCTACAGATAAAGATCTGATAATGGATTTCCAGGTCTAACCCCCCTTAAAAGTCCTGGTTCTTACCTTTGTAAGTGTGATTAACAACCCTCTAATAGAGGTAACAATGATTATTCCAACAAGAATAAAGGAAATGTGCTGAGACCAGAATTTGACCTGTATCATAAAAAAAGAATAGAGTTAACACTTTGGAGCTAACCCCATTTATACCACATTGTATTGTTGCCAGTTCTTCAGGGTCTTTGTATTTCCTAATGTACAGATATCCACTGCAGACAGCTTTATATAACAGACATTTTCACAAATGTATTAGCAACTGTTTACTTCAAACACACAAGAAGAACAGATTTAGTTTACACCAATCTCAAAAAACCCCATTTTCACAGGGAGATATTTAAGAAGTGTAAATGACAGAACACCTGTTTGCATAAGCAATCCAAATTACTCTCTAGCTGAATGTATTAATCTAAGCAAGTTGTCTAAAGTGATTCCATTTCCCCAAAACAAAAAAAAAGCTAATCAATGCCTCTCTGGCAAGACCACATCACCATCTCAGCATAAAGTCAGTGTGAAAGAAACGTTCATAGTGCATTTTCCCTTCCTCCTCAATAAGTCAAAAGCCAAAGACACATTCTCAGGGTCCACCACCTTCTCCCTATCAGTAACATGATTTTATTTAGATAAGATATGAACTGCTGAAAAGGCTGTCAGAATTAGTAAAGACTCACATCAAACTGGATTCCCAGGTAATTTACAGTGATCTCAATTCCTCTTGTGACTGGATCAGTCTTCCCCACACGGTCAAATACGATATTGATGGTTGCCTGTGAGAGAGAGATGCATTTACCTTCAAACAAAAAGACAAAAGCATCTCTGTCACAGTGAGACACAGTCATGGCTTAGGTTGTATCACTTAGGTTGTACAAAAAGACAGATCCAGAGCTTTATTTCAGCCAAGGGTCAGTTTCTTTCAGAATTTCCAGAACCCCAGTTTTAAGGAAACTAAGAGCATTACTTAAAGAACTGCACGTATTGCACAAGCTATGCAGGGTATGACATAAGTCCACAAAAAATGCAATAAAACGTTTACATACCATGAAGATTTTCCAGACACAATAGATGGAGAAAAAATAACCCAGAAAGTTAAAGTATTTTCCCTGGAAAGTTTTGGAATACTCTATTCTCTCCTGGAAACACAAAAGGAGGGAGGGAATAGAACACAAAAAAATATATCACTTTCACAATCACCCAAAACATAAAATTCTAATGGAGCACCGATAGTAGCAAACACAGCTCCTAACTTCTACACCTTCTAATTCAAATGTTTCTGAACTCGTAAGTGCTAATTTGGAAGCTTCTGAATGAATGGCTGCTAGGGACATGGGGTAGACTCCAGGATGTATCAGAACTGGAAGGGAACTGTCCTCTAGATCCAAAGCTAAGGGAACATATCCTCACTCCACTGCATTACAACATTTCAACATTTACCCATTGAACAGATTTCAATTTCAGTAGCACACATTCTTTTTCAAACTCCTCTGACCTCCCAACACCCATCTGGGCAGTTATTTGCTGTGTACCTTTGTTGCATGCAAGTCAGCAGTTTCCAGAAAAAGCTGCCGACTCAATTCTTCCAGGGCATCCACTTCTTGCTGGATAAGGGACAGATCTGGCAAACCAGCATAGTCAAGGCTAGAACACATCACATATTCTTATTTAAAAACAGAACATTCTCCACCTTCAGACCAAGGGCCACATCTAAAGGTTTGATCACTTTTTTGATCCAGATCAGCTTTTTGATTCAGTCTTCATGTTCCCTGTTAACACTGCACCCAAAGAAATCCCAAGGATGTACATACTGCACACTACTCCAGTTTAAGCAGGTGGGCAGTACACAGTATTTAGGCAGTCACACACCAAACTTTTTATTTCCCTGCCTGGGGAATAGAACCAGAGCTCTCAAAGGCTGCTGCTCAGTGTCCCTTGTCACTGAAGTGCATCTCACAATATGTCACACTCACATCAGCTTCATAAACAAAACTGCTGAATAACTGCCCCAAGACATTTGTGGTTACTACAAAGCAGACAAATTCTGACTTTAACAGCTAGTGGGAAAGAAGAGGAAGAAGAATCCTCAGTCTTAAATATGCAAACTGCACACTTCAAGTGGTCTGACAGAAATCACTGGTAACTAAGTTAGAGAAATACAGCCCCTTGCCTACTCCCCTTTCTCTTTTTAACCCCTTCTCCTGGGTAGAACAACTTCCATTTTCGTTCCTATCCAGCACAGGACCCAGCAGAAGAGAAAGCTGACTCTCACATCAGTGATGAGATGGGGCAGATGGCTGCAATGTGACACCACAAAGATGATCAGAGAGCTGGAGCACCCTCCCAGAAAGACAGGCTGAGAAAGTTGGGGCTATTCAGCATTGAAAATGGAAAGCTCCTGGGAGACCTTATAGCAGCCTTTCAGTACCTAAAGGGGCTCCAAGAGAGCTGGAGAGGGACTTTTGACAAGGGCATGTAGTGACAGGACAAGGTGGAATGGCTTCAAACTGAAAGAGGGCAGGTTAAAATTGCATATTAGGTAGAAATTCTTCCCTGTGAGGGTGGTGAGGCACTGGAACAGGTTGCCCAGAGAAGTTGTGGCTGCCCCTGGAAGTGCTCAGGGCCAGGTTGGGTGGGGTTCTGAGCAACCTGGGCTAGTGGAAGGTGTCCCTTAAAGATCATCCAGTTTCAAACCCCCTAGTGGAAGGTGACACCTTCCACTAGGGGGTTTGAAACTGGATGATCTTTAAGGTTCCTTCCAATCCAGGCCATTCCATGATTCTGTAAGTGTACACATCTGTCCTCTGATCTGCTGTACACCTCAGTCATGGTCATGCAGCAGCACATTTATGGGGCAGGGCAGAAACACACAACTGTGTCCAAGAAGCCCTGTCCAAAAGGTCAGTGCTACAAAACAAACTCTCCAGGAGACATCAGGTTTGAAATGTGTTGAAACACAAATGTTTTGTGACTGTCCCAACTAACCTT